CTCTCTCCTCTCTCTCTACTCTTCTCTCTTCTCTCTCTCTCTCTCTCTCTCTTCTCTCTCTCTCTCTCTCTCTCTCTCTCTCTCTCTCTCTCTCTCTCTCTCTCTCTCTCTCTCTCTCTCTCTCTCTCTCTCTCTCTCTCTCTCTCTCTCTCTCTCTCTCTCTCTCTCTCTCTCTCTCTCTCTCTCTCTCTCTCTCTCTCTCTCTCTCTCTCTCTCTCTCCTCTCTCTCTCTCTCTCTCTCTCTCTCTCTCTCTCTCTCTCTCTCTCCTCTCTCTCTCTCTCTCTCTCTCTCTCTCTCTCTCTCTCTCTCTCTCTCTCTCTCTCTCTCTCTCTCTCTCTCTCTCTCTCTCTCTCTCTCTCCCTCGAAAATATGGCTTAATTCTGTCAAAGTTGTTTCAAAATACGTGAACACTTACCGTATCAATACGCAGGTTTCGTTGTCGTATACAAGAGCTAATTAGCTTTCATTCATGGAAAAGTGGTACTGCCCGGGACAGTTGTAAAGTAGAGGACTTAACGGGTAGGGTTTCTCTTACCGAGTCCATCTACTGCCGCTGGAGCTGTTACCACAAATGAGGCATTCACAGGTCAGGTCTCGTTAACCCAATCCACTCGTTACTCATGGGGCTTTGCCTATACCAGACCTTTAATCATCCTTTGTTAGTTATGACCACTATTAACCAATTCGCTTCCATTTTCCAAGCTTCTAATTCTAAATTATTGAAGAGGTTTAGGCTTGTTGACATCCAAGCTTACTTTCATGCGCTCGTTGTTTTAAAAGTTGTGTGATTGGATGCGAATGCCAATGTTGTGTTAATATGAATTATCTCTAAATGAAGTGCCAGTAAAAACGTTGTAGCATTTCTTGGAGAATCTACGCGACATTACACTGGCGTCGTAACCACACCAGTGTCCACATTTTTTCCCAAATCTATACCACCTGCAACGTTATCCACATCACATGGGCTCCTATGGGCTCAGCCAACCCTTGAAATCCTCTTATCCACTGCCATCCGGTACTCATTCCTAATCACATATATCTACACGTCACGCATTCGTTCGTTTTTTGCATTACCTGAACTCTAACTTATGGAAAAGTTTCTGTTCTCGTCCGTCCCGACATCTCAGTTGGCTTGAGTGTCTGCAATTGCACTCAGTCTGAGCCAAAAAGTAAAGAGGAAACCACGCCGCCAGCGCTAACCCTTGCCCTCTGATAGGCTGTGCGTTATTCAACCCGCCTCCTTTAAGGTTTTCAAAGATACCTCGCTGCCATGTTGTGCAGTCGCGCCCAAATTCTCCGCATTCTATGGAACATTCATTGCCCATGTTTTGACACCAAGAACGTGTTTCTAGCTTTACTACTTTTGGAGCAGCGTCGGTTTTTGGGGAACACTGCACGGCGATCTACGGCCTGGACAGGCGGGCGGGCAGCAACCGACGGTGCCGCGGAATGCGTACGGCGGCCGACGTTGTTACATTAACGGAACCATATACGATACATTTTTGCTCAAAAGGCACAGAAATAAACACCGATGGACCTCAAATTCAGCACCTGCTTTGTAAAGCTGAAACAGTGCAAGTTTCTGGAAAATTCGACCTTTGACATCAATAGGAGACATCCAGCCATCTAATACGCGTTTTATTCTTGAAGTTTTTTCCATGCCGCTCATAAATCTAGCGAGAGGCAGGAAGCGTTCAAAGAAACAGCAGAACATGTAACGACGCTCTCGAGCATGGCACGCATAAAAACAATGTTTGACGGGCTATTATCTTAATGTCTGTCAACAGGGGCGTTGTTCTTTTGCCTGCTTACGCGCAGAGTGCTACTTGAGTGCAGAGTGCTACTTGAGTGCTACTTGAGTGCAGAGTGCTACTAGAGTGCTACTAAGATGCCTCGCCGCCATGTACTACTAGAGTACTACTTCGTTGTCAGATTGTACATCAACAGCGGCGTCGTTATCAAACCGGTTAGCGACCAGACTGCAATGTCGTTATCAGATTGCGCGTCATAACACCACAAATAGTCCAACTATTTTGTACCATATTTGCCAGCAGAGCCATCCCCGAAGGAATCCAGCAAGCAACACGGCGTTCAAGTCGGAGCAACATATAAAATTGCGTGCTTGCAGAACTCCATTGCAATCAAGCATTGGCCGCGTCATGCTAAAATGAATGGCTCAGCACGAACACCACATGACCTAATGCGACCTGATCCGACCCTGTAAGAGTATAGTTTTTGGTAGGAATGGAGAATAAAAGTGACATAGCCATAAAATGTTGCAGCGATAAGGAAACCAAGTGCCGGCATCTTTTTTCTCATCTAAGCATGCATGGAACGTCAATTCGGAAACAAATGCACAAGTAAGCGTTTCATCAGATCTGAAAGATCAGCCAGTCGAAGATATCCATAAAATGGACATGAAATGAAGGCCAGGTATCTCCTCTACGTGATGGTGGCGCCTACACATTGGTACAGTATGTTTTTGCGTCTTCATAAGTAAACTCGTCCAATTTTACCACTTTTTTCGAAAAAATGCGAAGTTCGAAGCTGCGTGACACCAATTACCTTCTTTATTTGGCTGGAGTCAGCAGACACGAAATAACGACAGAGGTCTCTCTATGAATTTTCACACTATATGTGCAGTGGGCACCCCTAATGGATCACCAATTCAGCCAATGTCTTCATGCTTTGACACGTTAAGCCGAATCCAAATCCAGTGACCTTATACTTTAAGCGAAGCGCAAGTCAACAACTCTGAATTCAGGGAATACGAAGCCAAAGCCGGCCCATCTGTTTGAAATAATGAAATCGGAGTCGAAGCCGAATCTAGGGTGCGACGCCGTTTTATAAAACTAAAGTGGTTTTCAGGCCTGCTAAAGCGTGATGGGAACCAAAAATATCATCAGGTTTGTGCGAGGTGTTGACATAACGATGGAAACTTTGTTCGGACTAACGCCCTTATCTTGTCTGCTAGTTTGTAAACAACGTTGCGGAGAGCTAGTTCCTCGGCCGTCGTCAGGTCTCAATTGATTCTCAGAATAACGGTCTTTCAGGCGTGTATGTCTCGCAATTTGAAAAAAGTTATTTGATAAGTTTATCGTGATGACAGAACGGACACGCAGGCTTCTGTCGTGAAATCAAGTCATTACTGCAGTGAGAAGTCACCATGAGGAAGCGAAAAACAGAAGTTGAAAAGTAATATTTTACATTTGAACGTATTAAAGCGAGCATCAGACGTGATGAAACAAGCTCACTTGTTATTATCGGTATGCTTTTTTGCGGAAAATGCTGCTCTAAGCAACACGATTTTTCTATTTAGTAAATATACTCCTCGATGCGTCATTGTTTGATTGCGTCATCGTACCTTGCAAAACATTGGTTAAGAGCAAATTTGCGGACGTTACATCACTGGAAATCGCGCTCATGATTGCTAGATATTAACGCATCGGCAATTATATTTCGCTTGGCCTTGATCGTCGCGTGGTTTATGAAATGGCAGGATTTGAATGACGTTATTATGACGCCATGAATGCCAAAGTATCTTCGAAATGTTCTCCTTGAAATATGCTTCCCATTTTCACGGATGTGTAACTCAGAGGGGAGCTCAAGTCTTAAGAAGGGCATGATTGTAAGCAGCTCCGAAATATAATCAAATGGCTTTTTCCGTTCAAAATCCCACATGACTATGGAGCTCTCCCTTTCATAACGCATCAGGGCGAAGACAGTAGGGGTGCAGGCAGGGGTCTGGTTTTAAGCCACACATAATTCAAACATTGTTCAAAGTGGGGGCCGAGCTAGATATTAAAAATGACACGAGACTGAAGCCAGCCGTGTGAAAAGACACAAGCAGAACCTGAAGCGGAAATAAGGGAGCAAACCGCGGCTTGAAGAAGCCGAAGCTGAAGCCAGCCTCACCGCAAGGACTGCGCCATACAGCATAGGCGGATACCCCCTAACATTGGAAATCGCATGTAAAAATCTATCGTAATCTAACACACGTGCATGGCGCAGAACATTTGTTTGCTGCCATTTTAGATTTAACCGCTTCAATATCGCCTGGTTGGTATGGAAATTTGGAAACCTTTTAAGGTCGAACGGAAAGCTCTGTCAACACAAAAAGGATAATCCCTCAAACGCATTGGTAACAAAGTTGGCAAGAGCCAAGTGCTGACTCCAACGCTCTTCCGTTGCAATGGTTTCAGATTTCTACACAAGGAAGGGTCGCATCCAATCGTCTTGAAACTCCAATACCGTATGTACAGGGGCGTGGGTGTCGATTTCCCGAAGTGATTGGGGTGGCCATAGTTTTAGAAATCGTCATACGGGAACAGGTAGGAAAAGCTTTTCGGATGTAGCCCGCGTTTGCTCTTGGTTTCTGGCTATCAATTACGAGTGAATATATATATATATATATATATATATATATATATATACATATATATGCATACACTTCCCTTACCATATCTTCTTACACCTCATGTGCGTAGCCACAGCGATCATGGAACCCTAGCAGTTTGCATCAGTTTTGTATAAAGCACTCGTTTTGTGAAGCTGAAAGGGTGCAGTTACACCTCTCTCACGTCCAATGGATGAGAGAGAGGTGTAAAATTTACATACAATTTGCCATCCTTAGCGTCAGTGCCTTTTTTGTGCATATATATGTATATATATATATATATATATATATATATATATATATATATTCAAGAAAATATTGTCTACAATACCTGTATCTGACATTGCATCCCGTTTACATCAAGCTTCTCGACAATCAAACAAATTGTTGATAAACCGTGTACATTTCAGCTAATGTGAAACAAAACACAAGCAATCCTTGACGCGCCATTTTAGAAAATGGTTGTCAACCTTTTCCTAAAGCGCTCAGGCACATCTCTCGATAATACCTGTCCCCGCTCACCCCATCAATTGCGAGCCAGCTGTAATTCAGAGAGAAGCTCCCCCAAGCTGTTGTGCTATTGAGGAGAAAGCAGCTCCCACCCTGCTTTAGCTTGAATGTATGGCAAATAAAACGACCATGATATAAATGACACTCAAAACGCGTGTTGATTGTAAAAGCGCTGCTAGTTGACCTGACTCCTCAGTGACTACGTTAGTCTGGAAATCTCCACCCTTTGTTAAACCGAGATGCAGACGAATCACATAACATACCTTTGTCATGCGAGCTCTGAAGCTTTAGAACAAAACCCCGTTGGTCGGCGTTGCAGTCTCCGCAAGCCGCTCGTTGTCGGCCCATTGTCGATATTAGGCGGTGGCCGGTGAGCGGACGAAAATAGCAACGTTTCTGAAAGAAGCATTTTTGAACGCTCTAATATCACAATTTAAATTGATCAATTTGAATCGGTGTCAAATTGACCCCCACCCGAGCGAACGGTATGCAACTGGCCACCCGAGCACGTGTTAAAAATATTAGGCAAGTTCAAAAATGTTTTTGATGCTAAAGAATGATCTCCCTTTTGAAGCCGATGTGACGATGATAACGATCATAGATGAAGATCATGATATTGATAGTGGTGCAGATATGGTAAAATAAGCTCACAACTATTTATATGTTTCTAAGCGAAAAAGATTGCTCTAGACAACACAGTTTATTTGTTCAGTGAATATGTTCCCCGATACGTCACGGTCTAATTACGCCATCAAACCTTGCACGACATTGATTGAGAGCGTACGGCTGTTAGAAGTCTGGCAATCGTGCTCACGAACGGCAGATATGAACAATTCAGCAATTATATATTTTTTTGACCTTGATCGCCGTAAAGCTAATGGAATGACAGGATTGATAACAGTCAGCATAATATCAAGTAAGTCAGTCAGCAAGTCAGGGCCCTCTGTCAGGCACTGTGGGCTCCTGGCTGACACAGAGGCCTCGTTATGTCAGGGATCCCGCTTTTCCTTGCTTGGAAACTGGGTTGCCAGGGCTCAGACCGACATGGAGCAGACTGTTCGTTGTTCTTGATCTCTGACCCAAACGGACGCCCGCATTGGCCTAGGGTGTGCCCAAACGGTACGAGAGACTCTCCGACTGACATCAGAGCGCCCGGCCCTGCAGGCCGGGGTCCTTAATGTTACCTACAGCCAGCCCCCGTACCTTCCAATCAGGCACTTGATCAAAGGCCCCTGCGGTCGCCCTTGAGCATTGCCCCAGGCCGATTCTGGGGCCCTCGCCATACATGACCCTTGTTATATACTGTGGTCTCCAGATCGACACAGAGGCCCGTTTATGGTCTCAGGGGCCGCGACCGATGTAAATCTCGGACCTCGTCCTTGTTACTGCTTGGAAAACGCGCCCTGAATTTCAGATTGACGCTTCAGTATTCAGGTGGCCAATCCGTCACTTGTCACAGTCGCTTAGACTCCACCACAGGGTGTATTTTCGCAAAATAGGCTAGGGAGCTGAGCGGGAAACCCCTGACCTTAAATGCCCCAAAAAACTGGTTTCTTACTGGATGGGGTCCACTTTCCTCTCAACGTAATGGAATTTGCATTTCCACCCAACTGAATAGGATTATGCGACATTGCTCTTACATGTTTCCTCGCTCTACCCCGGCGGAAGATGTTCTCATTGGGCGTCATTATAATTTTCTTTGGCGTCCATCGTCGAAATCAGGTCTCGGCAATCGACTCAGGTTATGTGGCTCCAACACGTTGTTGGACGTGTACGGCTATGGGAGTGAAGAGCGTAAGCTGGTTTGCGCGACTTTTAAAAGCTGCCTCCAAAGGCAGCTTTTAATAGCCCCCTGGCAGCCGGAAAGGCGGTTGGTTGGTTACAAAACGGCACTCGCGTTAAGCAAGTTTGACACAGCTAGCGCTGTTTTGACGGCTAGTGCTATTTTGATGGTCATTGTCGGATGACTGCCGCTATCGATTTAGTCAGCTGGTGTCGATCAAGTTTTTGTGACTGTCCTATGCAATGTCCACGTCGAAGTGGAAGTTGGCCCATTTCAACGTTTCTTTCGAGTATGACCGGGTAAAACTTTGTTCACATTTTGAGTGCCGACATTTAACCGGTTTGTTTTCAATTTCCGATAACACGTATCGTATCGTGGCAAAATAGCGCAACTTCCTGTAATCTGTGGATTTTCTGAACATCACTGGATGATACCAAAATACTCAGACAATAGCATAAAACTACATCAGCGTCAATGAGGCATAGAAATCATGTAAGTAAAAGCATGCAGCATGCGAGAAAACACAGAGGATGCTCAAGTACGCATGGCGCGAACGCGGAGCTTTTGCTGTGTGACTTACTCCGCAAGCTGTATTCAACTGAACATGGCATGAGTTTTCATTTGCTTTGTTCCTTTTGCCTGTCAGTTAGTAGAAAACTTTTTTAACCCTGACATCATTGTGATTCCCCATTTGTCATGCCCTGCTTGTGTTTTGGCTCCAGAAGGTTCGAGGGGCAAACTCAATGTTGGGGGAGGGCAAATCGGACATTGGGGGGAGGGGACGGGGGGCACTTGCCCATCCAAAATCAGACAAATCGCCACCCGTGTACGGGGTTGTACGGAAGGCGGCTGAGAGTCGCACCCCAGACTTCAAGGGATGACGAGCACCCATCAGTGCATCCGCCTGGCCACAGGCGTCTGTTTCAGATAGCCGCAGTTGCGCAACAGAATACTCTGTTTTGGGGTAATGACACCCTTCACTGGATTTGGGCCGCTCTTTGTGAATCGGAAGGCCGCTGTTCTGGATAAGTGGGCCTTTCTTTTCATCAAGAGGCCCTCTTCTTTCACAAAAAAACAGGGGTGCAGCCAGAGCCCTGAGGTGTGGGAATGGGTGTAAGGTAGTGTGTTAGGGTAAGCCCCAGGCTGTAGCGCTGAGGAAGCTTTCCTGAGGCATTTATTTGCATGGATATTGAAACTCGTAACAATTTGCTAAGCGAGCACGTGCCCCCATTCTACTGAATGCAACACTGCTCAGCAGACTCCTTGCGAGGACCCCCACCTCCCCCAGGAAAGTCATGTCCCACTCTACATTCGTAGCGCCGCATTTGCCCGTACCGACCACGATCAGTGCCAGCCCGACAACCCCTGGCGCTTTCCGGCCATGCAAGCAGACGGGCCGCAAAAGGACCGTACTACTAGTTCTTGATTTCGACCGATAGGTGAAAGCGTGGCCAGGCAGAATGTTGGCGCTAGAACCGATAATTGCGCCGAATCTACTTTTTGTTGCTTTTGATCATGTCATTACTACATTCCGCAGCTGGTATGGCTGCTGAACTCAAGATGTTGCTTCAATATTATGGGCAATTTGTTGTTTAGTTTCGGGAAGCCTTTGATGACGTAGTTTGAGTCCAGTGAATTTGTCTTTGTCGTAATTTCTTGCCGGCCTTGAGAGTAGATTGGTTCGGACCAAACTCACAACCTTGATAAAGGACTGGCATCACTTGTGTGTTGTGGATGTGGTCGGATGGACTGTGGGCGTAGTTTGTGTACGTGAAATAGGCAACAGTCCTGAGCTTGATGAGTATTTTCATTGTACTTCGAAATACGGGACTCACATGGGATACGGATCAGCTCACATTTAAACAGAAATACGGCATCTGTTGGCGCTGAAAGAACCGCTATGTTAATGGAGCGGCGAACGTGACGCTTTTTCTCACCACTCCCATATTTGCTTTTCGTGATACATATGGAGGACTTTTGGCATATTGCATGCGTGTTAATCTATTGTTAGCAAGATATGTGACTTATGAGTACACTGGACTTTTCAAAACCAGTCAGTATTTGTCGGAATTGGTGGTGCTCATGGAGCCTGCAGTTTAATATGGACAGCCTGACAGGTTTGCTCATGAGATTGAATTGATTCAAAAAATATTGTTCTCCATGATCCAGATTTTCCCAGCTGCTTAATCTGATCATGCTGCATGTCAGACACTTATTTGTTTTTTCAAATGTTCCATTGATTTAAAAATGTGTAGTCATTAGTCTAATACATAATTGTAGTGCTTGAAGTGGTAGTGAAATAATGAACTATGGTTCCAAGAGAGTCCAGAAATTGGTACTTAAATTTATAAAACTAATATCACTCATCGCCATAGCATAGGTCTTGCCCAAAGTGTGTTTGATGCAGGGATATGGCATTTCAACTTGGGGTTTTATGAACATTTTACTTCTAGAAAGTAAAATGGATCTTTCTTATGGGCCCTCTTGCAGCTCATGTTCTACTTCTCATTAATTTCTCCCAATCACATCACTTAGTGTACAGGTCTTGGTCACATAACAATGATGCATGAGCTAATAGTGTATAAACTGTCAACATGTCTTGTTTGAAAAAAAACTGGATTTTGATGTATTTTCTGTCCCATCCATTGAAGCCTGTTTTAAGGTTCTTAATGTTATTTGAAGGGAAATTTCATGTTTGATCATCAGATCAGCATCATCCTGTCAAGCTCATCACATTGGCATGCATGTTCCATGCAGGATCTTGGTGGGTATATTCTGAACAATGCTGGTGTAAGCTGAGCATTCCAGCTATAGGCTGTTTGGATGCTGTAGATGCTTGGTACATGCAGTTTGGATATTTGGGTTGTATTTTAAGCTTTAATTACCCTCTTAACTTGGTTGTTGGGAGAGATAGAAAAACTCAATGGAAAATTATGCTGCCTGGAATAATTTTTGCTACTTTCTGGCCTGGAAATAGTGGCAAGCATGTGCTGGATAAAAGTAACATAGTGCCTGTAGGTTATGGCATTCCTTTTTATCGATTGTTTCTTGTTTTTAAAATCACATACTTTGTTCATGTTATCAAAACGACTCAGCTCCGCAGAACTCAACACCAGGATAATCAGAATTAAAATGTGCTACCTTTTTTGTGCTCTGAATATGTGGCACTTCTTTGAATCCTGGGGTTTAGAGGTTACAGTCATGGTAGTGTGGTCATGGTTTTTCATCATAATGTATATTTGCTCTGCCAGGTTAAGCAAATTGTAGTTAACATTTGAATGTGCTTCATTGTCAGCAGAATCATTATGTTCATCATCATACAGATATTTAGTCCACTGGATCAGGCTGGGAGCAGAAAAGTCAAGCATTATCACTGATTGCACAAAAGTACATTTTGTTTCAGTTGTAAACCCAAGTGCAGATATTCAGGGCTCATTTTCTATTTGCAAGGTGTTGTCCTATGTGCAGAATGAGCAACAGGTATGTTTTTATGGTGTATTCAAAGCTCTGAATGGATGAACTCAGACAAGAGCTTGTGGTAAATGATTGTGTGAGCTCTGGTCCCCACCCTCTGATCATGAAATTCCAGGTTATCATAATTGTTTGGTACATATCAAACTTGTTGTAATGGTTAGCACAGTTCATCCTTTCCAATGTTTGATGTTTACAGTATGTGCAGGCCATCTCAGCCAAGGGGTTTACAGTATGTGCAGGCCATCCCAGCCAAGGGAAAATAATATGCACCCAAAAAAACTTGAATCTACCTGCCACAGGTGATGAAATTGGAAGGCAGGTGCTCTAGCCAACTGAGCTATGAATTGATGACCAAAGCTGTACTTACATTGTGGCCATTGATTAGTGTATCTGACCTGATTCTATGGCTACCATTTACCACATCTAGTGCTGGGGGTCATAATATGCCATGTGTGTCTTGATGTTGTATGCATCTTGTATGTACCACTTAACCAATGTATGAAAAGTAGAGTATGTATAGACAAGAAATTATTGGACAGAAGTTGGTATTTGGCCAGTTATTCAAAGATGAGTCCACTTGGACTAGATACCAGACATGTGCATGCAACCCAAAAAAGATCCCAGGACCCATAAACACAGACATGAATAGAATCCAGGATACACCCCTGCTATCTGGGAATATGTCTGGCAGACACAGCCTCACTTTTGTTTTATCACCATAGATGAGGACTACATTACATGAAGCATACATGCATGCAGCCAGGGCAAAACATTGAATAACCACCTTGCAGAACATTCAGTGTGACATGCATGTCTTACACTGCATGTCATATAGGTATAAGGTACTAAAATGGTGCTGCACTTGTGAACAGGGTAAGTTTTCATCCATCTGTATTTATTCAACATGCTCAATATGGCAAGGCTGCATTTGGTGGATCATGTGTGCAATAGTTTCAGGGTTTTATGTTTTGTAGCTTGATTAATTGACAAAATTCCTCTAATGCCTCCAGGTAATCACTTGTTAATTTTGCAAGCTGCTTTATCATCAGTGGTGACGACATGCGGATGCTAGCAATGTTTGACATTTTTGTTGTATTCTTGCTGTGCTGTTTGGCTCTTGCAAATTATCAGAGCATGATTTACTCTATTTTATTCTTGTCAGCTTCTTCCAATTCTTGTGTTGGACAGTTCCTGCCAGTCAGTCTCAACCAGTAAAAATCAGCCAGCAGAAACCAGATCAGTTGTCAGTTGCCTTCAATCCTGAAAGGACTCTGTAAGATGGTGATGCATCCATTCTGGAATGTTGTTTAATTGTTGTGCCACTATGTTTTAGGTTATTAGATTAGGCTGATGCTGTAAGATTTTGGACTGAGGTGAGATTGTTTTGTCTGCTTTTTCTCTGTCTGGAGGATGACAACCAGAATAAACTGCATGTGTAGGGAGGGCCCAGAGAAGCTACATATATATTTAGTCTTACTCCTCAGGATGCGTTACCTCTCAGGGCCAAGGAGTTAAAGCTGTATGTGCTTTTTCAATTTGAAATTAAGAGTATTATGGAGATGTAGTTTCAGTTTAAAATCAAAAGTTTTATGGGAGTGAAGCTTTTACCATATTGTGCCAGTCTTTTACCAGCTGTCATATTAGCATAGACTAGAACTATGGCTGAGTGCATCACAGTGGCTGAGTTGGGGCATCTGTCTTCAGATTCCCCATCCATGGTGGGATGGGTTCCAATCACTGTAGGCGCTCCATATTTATTACTGACTAAGATGGCCCGTGGATGGCAGCAGCTGTTGTGCTGAAGGTCAGGTGACTACAAGGGCAGGATGGACCATCCTGAACATCCCAGCATGTTGAGCTTTGCCACAAGGATCTGCCATGGAGCCAGTATTTGGTGACTGGATGATGGCAGGAGGACTCACAACAACCCATTTAGGCTGGGTTTGGTCTGGATCTCCATCTGAAGTTTGCAGAGAATTTGAGCATATACCTCACAATCATTGTACACAGGTGATAACAGAAACATTGCACTTAAATAAATATGTTGGAAGGAAGGTCCCTGATCTGTATCAAGATAGAAATACTTAAAAGAAACAGTGGCATTCACTTACTGTACGATGCAAGAAGGCTAGGAGTCAGCACACATCAACCTATGCCAAAGTCCTGATCTTCCTGGGACCAGGCCCAGGTGATGTACATGTCTGGGAAGCTGTAACCAATGATTTCTTGTGATGATGTGAATCCACATAAGTGCAGACATATATGGATGTACAGCTGTTGAACAATTTTCTGATGTGATAGTCATGACTGAATGCAGATAACCCTGAATGTCTGAAAGTGTATTTATGGAGGCCCTTCATGTTGTCTCAAGTGCATATTTGTTTTTCAGAATGAAAAACTGAGGGCACACTAAAATGAAAATGGTGTTGTCACAAAGGCAAAGAGAAGAATTGTAAGTATACCCAATGTGTGCCTACCTTGTTTCACTTTTCAGAAGTATTGTGTGTTAAAAATTATATTACATCTTTTGTGCCCACCAACAATTGTCACTTTTCTTCAGCCTGTGTTCAGAAATATTATATCATCCTGCACCAATAATTATGTTTTCTTTTGTTTTAAACTCCTATGTATGCATTATTCACTATATTCATGTTTTCTTCATTGTCATATGTGAGTTGTATTAGTTGTAACATAACTATATCCTGTATTTCCTATATCATTCACTGTGACTTGTGGCTTGCAGGCAAATATAATTGCCAGGGAAGCTATTTTTTCATTGAGATGATGTTTCAAAACATTTTGATTAGTGTTATTTACCACAAAGTCAGTGGTTTGTCACACAGATCATATTTCAACAATGATGCATCTGTGTTTTACTCTCATCATGTTTCAGGAACAAGGCAATCGCCGATTACCTTGGCAGCAATGGATACACTGATTCCCTGGAGGCATTCAAAAGAGAGACAGACATGCCAGGCGAGGTGGATAAGAAATATGCCGGCCACCTAGAAAAGAAATGGACTGCAGTATTGAGACTCCAGAAACGGGTCAGCATTGACGTAGCCCCGTCGCGCATCGCATTTTCTCCTAGACTGCTCTCCTCTGTTTTTTTTTCTTGCTAGCCTGCTGTACCCAACTATTCTGACCTTGCATCTGTGGAAGGAAACAGCAATTTATGTGTGCAATAATCTCATGCGGTTATACGGTTGAAAGGTTTGTGACAATGAATGAATCTTAACCTTCACGTAGCATTGTTATCGCTAAAAAGATGCAACTGTAAGCTTTATAATTCCAGTTTGACATATTCCCTCTGCCTCTTGCCTGACCATACGGCGCCGCCGTGCGTCGGGACGGTGGGAAGGTGGGGGGTGACAGTGTCTTGCCCGACGATGTGACGCCGCCGTGCGTCGGAACGGTGCGGGGTTGACAATGCCTGACCATACGGCGCCGCCGTGCGTCGAGACGGTAGGGGTGACGGTGTCTTGTCTGACCGTGGGACGCCGCCGTGCGTCGAGACGGTAGGGGTGACGGTGTCTTGTCTGACCATACGGCGCCGCCGTGCGTAGAGACGGTAGGGGTGACGGTGTCTTGTCTGACCATGGGACGCCGCCGTGCGTCGAGACGGTAGGGGTGACGGTGTCTTGTCTGACCATGGGACGCCGCCGTGCGTCGAGACGGTAGGGGTGACGGTGTCTTGTCTGACCATGGGTCGCCGCCGTGCGTCGAGACGGTGGTCGTGACAGTGCCCCGTTGCCGCGTCGGCAGAACATGGAGCTGGAGGCCAACCTGGCCGACTACCAGCGCGAGATGCAGGCGGGCGCGCCGACGCGCGAGAAGCGCTCGCCGGCCGAGTGGATCCCGCGGCCGCCGGAGAAGTACGCCCTCACCGGACACCGGGCGCCCGTCACCAAGGTGAGGCTCGACTGTGACCAGGGGCGGAGCCAAGGGCCGGGGTCATGGGAGCATGTTCTTCCCCCCCCCCCCCCCCCCACACACAAATACGCTCCCTGAACCAAGGAGTTCACACTAGGCACTGGGCGTATTGGCAAGAATGACAGGGACACTAGGCCGAATCGGTAGAAGTTCGGAGAAAGTTGGCGTTTGCCCCCCACATCAGGCGCCTATCATCAGGGGGAGTTGCAGCCGCAGGGCACTCATCGCCAGTGTGGAAAACGGCGTCTAGCTCCTCTCGCAATTAAGTGTCCATTGATTGCTTGATTATTAAGTAGGAGGTACGAAAATCAGGGTGAGGAAACAATGGTATATTCATCATAATATTCGAGAACAGCTAACAAAGTCCCACATTTTCGGGCCCCTGTCTGGGTTGTTCATGCCTCAGTAATCATGCTTGATCATCGATTTAGTGTCGTACCAGCACGGTCCCAATTATTTAAAAGTAGTTGGCATTCAAACATTGTCATTGTAGGAGTGCTTGGAGGCAGTCCCCCCTCCGCACTAAGTGCGGGGTGGGTGGTTGCCAGCAGTCGTGCCTGACACGTGGCTTCGAGGTGGCGTGCCTTGCATGCAGTGGCTCAGCCGGGACCCCAGGGACGCGCGTCCAGTGCAGGAGCGGGGCCGCAGCCGTGGTGTGTTTGGCGGCGCCGCTCGGCGGTCAGGCGCGTGGCGCGCGCCGGCGTTGTGCCCCTCTCGGCGCCCCTCTGCCCGTGGCGCCCAGCGCCAGATGCCAGATGCCATGCCGGGCGCGTCGGGGCGTCCTGTGTTCGCCGAGGGTTCCCCGAATGTCGCGAAGTCTTCGAACTGTGAATGTGTACACTGACAGACTGATGGGTCGCGGTTGCTGAGCGAGTGCTGGTTTGGATACAGCGGCGCCCTGGTCTGCCTGCTATAACTGGCCAGAACTGATCGTAAAACACATATTTGGCTGCTTGCGTTCATGGCGATTCAACTGATCAGATGTGAATGCCTGGCCGGAAATGGTGCGGCGACGAAGTTAGCACATTGTCTGTCTTCATAAAATTTGACACGTTAATGCTGGCCACGCTCCAGTCACACGAAACCCAGAGATGATATCACATGACTGAGCGAAGGTATGTCAGCTTCTGCTAACGCCATGTAGCCACTGTTGAGACCAGCTGGTGGACGCACAGCCCCGAGTTCGTTCCTCGGCTCAGCTTTAGTTCGACGTTACGCTTATTTATAATTTACGTAATTTACTACCGGTTTGCGTGACGAGCCGTGCCTCATCGATTACCGGATTTCCTGACGTCATCGTCATTTGCACGAGCCATTGTGAGCTATGGCCGTGGGTAATTGTAATGATGCTTGTCCCGTTCCGTTGCGTCAGTGCGTCCTTCCCGCGGCACAATCTGTCTTTGTTATTTATCTGTTGACTTTGCGTCTTGCTCGTGCACCGTTTGCACTTTATCAAGAGGAGAAGTGCTGCAAAAAGTACATCACGCCGTCCGTCAAGAGGGATAACTGATGCAAAAAGCATCACTTTGTTAGAGCCCATTTGTTATTGCACCATTAGGGTCATCTGTCAACATGAAATAAAACGCCCGGAATAGCTGCGCTCCACGTTGGGATTCCGACCTGTTGTCTTGTATTGTGCTTAACGTTAACAATCCCTGGCGTTCACTTATTCCAGTTTTTGATCATTCGATTTTGCGCGTTTTCTCTCCGACTTGTTTTCATGTATTGCTTGCACTCGGGGGTACAGGAATCACCAGGTACCCTCCCAACGCGCAAGTCCTATCTGGGTGGTGCGCTGCTGTTTCTTGAGAAGCTTGCATCGTACCTTTCCTGTTCGTCCACCTCCCGGCCCTCCCAGCATATTGCACCACGACCCTCATCGCCTGCACGTCCCATGCTAGCTGCCGGGGTGGTTGTCACCGTGGGCGCTGCCTGGGCTGCCACACCGGCTGGCAGGCGTCGGTGGTTAGGTAAGCAGCCGGGTCTGGGCCGTGTCTGGACCGTATTTGAGCCGTGTCTGGGCCGTGTCTGGACCGCATCTGAGCCATGTCTGGGCCGTGTCTGGGTCGCCGCCCTGGCAGGCAGGCGTCGGTGATTGGCCGAGCAGCCGTGCCTGGGCCGTGTCTGGGTCGCCGCGCCGGTAGACAGGCATAGGTGGTGAGCTGGGCAGCCGTGTCTGGGTCGTGTCTGGACTGTGCCTGGACCGTGTCTGGGTCGTCGCACCGGCAGGCCGGCGTCAGTGGTGAACTGGGCAGCCGTGTCTGTGCCGTGTTTGGACTGTGCTTGGGCCGTGTCTGGGCTTCCACACCGGCAGGCCGGCGTCAGTGGTGAGCTGCGCAGCCGTGTCTGGACCGCGTCTGGACCCGCCCCGGATCGATAGTGGGGCCGGCCCGGCGGAGCACAGCGGCGCATGTCACGGATCCGCCGGTCCGCCGCTGGCCCGACCTGGCGGTCACCGGGCCCGACTGATCCGGCCCGGCCCGGGCGGAGACCGAGGAGGCCGGCGGCGGCCGGCGGCCGGACCGTGGGTGATAGGGGAGGGGCGCAGCGGTGGCGGAGGCGGCTCCCGTGAGTCGGCAGGCGCTCGCCGCTGATGTCGGCTCGGGGCTAATGCGCGGATCACAGTCGCGGCTGATGGCATTCGTCGCTGCCGCAGCCGTTTGTCGCCAGCTCCCCGCCTCCGCGGCGGCTGGCCGGCTGATATATTCCTGGACGGGCTGCCTGCATTGGCTAATGGCTGGCGCCGGACGTGGTCGTTTCTGCGACTTTGCCGACCACACACGCCAGTCCGACTGGGGCCGCAGCCGAGCCGGTCAGTTGTATTGAGTTTCCATCGACCGTGTCCTCTCGGGCACGGTCAGTGGAGGATTATGGCCTCTCGCAGGGCCACAATGCCGCGACCAAAGAGGCTAGCCAGGCTCAGACCTGCCGGCTACGTCAGGAACTTGCACAGTTTCTCCGGTCTCGGCCAGCAGTGACGCTCACACAGCGCGCGGCTTCGTCGCGGCCTCCCCCCATCGGGGCCGCGGCGGGTTGGCGGCGGTCCGTCGGACCGGATGGCGGCGGACGGGCGCACTGTGCGTCACACCAGGTGTACGGCCGCCGGCCGCACCTGTCCGCCGCGTGAGGCACGCTCGGTGGTGCCGCTGCAGGGACTGCGCCGCCCCCGGCCGGCCCGCCGGGATGCAGCTGGCGGCCGGCGGCGCCGGTGACACCTGAGTCGCCGGTGCTGGTGTCGACACGCGGACCGCGCTGAATGCGGGTGCGGTACCCGCGCTCTCCCAAACGGTCGCGAGGGCCGTGACTGAGGGCTCCGGATTTCAGTCCGCCACTCTGTGTCGTAGATGAACTCAGTGGCGATGATTTTCTGCTAGCGTGGCATTAGAAAATCATGGCGTTATCCCTTTGCCGAATTTTTAGTTAGGCGTGGTGGGGCAACTTGCTCGGACTTTGTTCCGAATTCGAACAGACACTCGGCCCCTCGATGGATGCCCCCGTTTCGTGAACACCCGTGAAGCGTCCAGAAACGTGCGTTCGTTATGGTGACCTTTTGCGACAGCAGTTCTGCTGCGACCGCACAGGCCATCCCCGGCACCTGACCTTTTCATACCCGCTCCAGCGCTGACCCGTGACCCCTGTCTGGGCCCGCGTCGCCTCACCACCGCAGCGTGGCGCGCCGAAGACAGTGGTCAGGTCGCGGACCGCCGTTTGCCGGCGAGCCCGCTGTGCCGCAGGGCCTCGTCCTGACCCCGGCGTCGCTGCAGGTGCTGCTGCACCCCGTCTACAGCCTGATGGTGTCGGCCAGCGAGGATGCCACCATCAAGGTGTGGGACTTTGACTCGGGCGACTTCGAGCGCACGCTCAAGGGTCACACGGACAGCGTGCAGGACATCGCGTTCGACCACACGGGCACCTTCCTCGGTGAGAGCGCGGCCGGCGGCGGCCCGCCGTCGGTGGTCGGAACGTGCCGCGTATGAGCCAGGGCCTGGCCGAGTGTGACTTGTTGGCGTGCGAGCTTCATCGCGAGAACTTCAGCGCGTGGTCGTGGGCACATATGTGGGTTTTTGTTGTTTTGTTTCGATACGTGCTGAGACTGGGAGCCGTCTGGTGTTGCCAACGTCACTAATCGGCGTGATCGATTCACACATGTTTGCTGTTCGCGTTTGAGATGTGTTAAAGGATGCGCCGATGGTCCAGTATACGAAAATTACCATCATTTTTCTGTGCAGATATTTTTTATTGGGAGCTGCTGACATGATTTGCTTTCGACGAGTCCCTGGGGGTATTGCAGCATTGAGGTAAATAGTTGATGAGTGACGGTGCACCGCAGCAGGGGTGCGTGCCGCGTGGTGACCGACCCCCTGCCGCTGCAGTGTCGTGCAGCGCCGACATGTCCATCAAGCTGTGGAACTTCAGCGGACACTACGAGTGCATCAAGACGATGCACGGCCACGACCACAACGTCTCCAGCGTGACGTTCACGCCACCCGGCGACTTCATCCTCAGCTCGTCCCGTGACAAGGTCATCAAGATGTGGGAGGTGGCCACCGGGTAAGAGCGCGGTGGGTTGTCCCCCCCCCCCCCCCCGCTGCCCTTCTCCCCTCGTGGAGCCGACGCGCTGTGTCTGCCCAGCTCCTTCGCTTCCCCTCCCCGTGTGGTGAGGTGGGGCAGGCTGAGGGCGCGGGCGGACAGAGCCTGCGTGGTTCACAGCTCAGTTGTTCAGTTGTTCAGCTGCTGTTCAAAGAGTGGTTCAGAGAGTGGTTCAGAGTTCAGCGGTATGCTGGAGTCGTCGGACGACGGTACGTCCTGTAACGTCAGACCTCCGCCCTGAGGGTGTTCTTTGTGTCCAGCGGCGGTGCGCGGTCGGTCGGCGCCCCTGACTGTGTGCGGTCACACTTTGCGCGTGTCAATTGGCCTGTGAAGGACTGGGCTGTCGATGCGCTCCTCGGCGTGGCCGCGATCACCGCTCGTCCCGACGGGTCAGTGACCTGGTGCGTGACGGCTGTGTTTGTTGGGATTCAGTTCGCGTTGGTGGTCCTCAAAGTTCGAAACTCATCAGTATGCTGTTGACTCTGCAGGCAGATCATTCGTTCTTGAGTGCCTCGTAGGCATACAAATCTCGCATCCATTCTCCAGTCTGGGGCATTCGGTTCAAAGGCAGTTGAAGGCTGTAGCGTTCCGACAGCGTTGCAATGCAGGCCACACACGGTCTGCAAGGCTATGGTGTCGCGAATGACGCCGCAAGCTCATCGAGCCTATAAAAAACTTTACGACGCTCGACTTCGACCTGTGGCTTGACCAGCCGGCACCGGTCCATGACGCGACCCACATCCTTTGTTTGTTATCTATCGTCTATCTGACTTCCTGTGGTCGTCCTCGTTGCGTGCGGAGGCGACGCTCTGTTTTTGCAGCCGCCAGCCCTCGTCACAGAGGCAGCAGCCATCCGTCGGCCGACCCCAGCTCCGTCCGATATGACGGCGGCCTCTCGCAACCGGTGTTCCGTAATTCATCCAGCAGGGTGTGCAGGGTGTAATAAGAACTCACGCTACCATATTCCTGGCTCTCCGGCGGTCTCCGTACGCAACTGGCTGGCACTTATCTGTTCGCCTTGGACCCCGAAACCAGACATCTGACCTGCCCGGTCCGTTCCCCAAGCCTGAGGCCTGATGCTGAGCTATGCACCGCCCAGCTCGATGTTGATTGGCCTATTTTGAGCAAGGGGAGGAGCAACAGGCAATGAACCCCAAGCCAGGGGTGTAATAGCATGAAAAGTAGCGACGTTACTGCCACCCAAGTGACCGAATATTGAAACACTGCTGCCAACAGGTACTGCGTGCGCACGTTCACCGGGCACCGCGAGTGGGTGCGCATGGTGCGCGTACACCCGGACGGCCAGCTGATGGCCTCCTGCTCCAACGACCAGACGGTGCGCGTCTGGCACATCACCTCCAAGGAGTGCAAGGTGCGCCGCTGACTGCGCTCGGGGCGCGCGTGGGTGGTGCTCGGCGGTCCGTGAGCGGCGCTGTTTAGGTGCTGCTACACGACCTGTAACCGCTAGACCGCTATAGTTCCGACTAGCGAGAGAGAGAGAGAGAGAGAGAGAGAGAGAGAGAGAGAGAGAGAGAGAGAGAGAGAGAGAGAGAGAGAGAGAGAGAGAGAGAGAGAGAGAGAGAGAGAGGAGAGAGAGGAGAGGGAGAGGAGAGGGGAGAGGGAGAGGGAGAGGGAGAGGGAGAGGGAGAGGGAGAGGGAGAGGGAGAGGGAGAGGGAGAGGGAGAGGGAGAGGGAGAGGGAGAGGGAGAGGGAGAGGGAGAGAGACTGTCGTCGCTGCCGCACTGGCGTGGTCGTGACTGCCGCCAGGAACAATGACTTATTCGCGCACGCTGCGTTTGCCGTTATAGGCGCGATATGCTTGCCGTTGAATGACCGTTTGTAAGGGATTAGTGGAGCATGATGCGGAACGATTCGTACGCCAGTTCTTCTAACTTGGCGTTTCCGTCTGAATACCGACGCTAGCGGGGATTCAACGGACGCGAACGAGCGCGGCTGGACTTGCATTCACTTGTCGCCGCCTGATTTCTCCCCCGGGTGTGGCGCGGTTATCACGCATGACCTGGAGACGTGTTGTTCGAACGCCGCCCTAACATCTTCGCCAGATGGAGCTGCGGGAGCACGAGCACGTGGTGGAGTGTATCGCCTGGGCGCCGCCGGCGGCGTCCGCGGCCATCAACGAGGGCGCAAGCGGCAACAACAAGCAGGCGGGCCACCCGGGACCGTTCCTGGCCTCTGGCTCACGCGACAAGACCATCAAGGTGAGCGGCGCGGCGCTGGTGCTCAGGCCGCTGCTGCCCCGGAGCTGGAGCTGGGCTGGACGCCGGTGACGTCAGGGTGCGACACGGCACGGCACGGCACCGGCATGGCACGACACGACACGACACGACACGGCGCGACATGGCGCGACACAATACGACATGACACGACACGACACGATAACGACAACGACACGACACGACACGACACGACACGACGCGTTACAGCACACGGCACGGCAGCTGCGGAGGCGACGCCGGTCGATGATATGCTTTCCACCGGTGGATAATGGCAGAGCGCGCGGTGCGTGTTGTATGGCGCTGGCCCGGTATGAGCGTCATGGTGACTGCGACTGGTTTGTCGTGGAGCGGAATGGTGAGCGACGCAGCCGGCGGCGTGACGCGCCGGGGCTCGGGGTCTGGTGCAGTGTGGTGATGTTTTACCGGCCCCACACACCGGCTTTAGGGGCTGCCACGCGAATGTCGTATTCGGTAACTCCATGCGTCTGTAACTAACGACGGCTGCTTCTTACGACGAGTTCCGCCATTGGCCATTCGGCCATGAGGCCAAGCACTACACCGTACTGCCGTGCATCACGCCCATCTGAGAGCTCGCCGTCCCTTGTCAGGTCTGAGTACCGTACCGGCCCTGACCGTCTCAGGCTGCTGGTTGTTCGTCAGCCGACGTTGACCGACGGTCTCTCAGATCTGGTGTGCCGTCTGCAGCAAGCGTCTGCTGTCCCTGCCCGGGACCGTGACCCTGAGTTTTCGTTGACCCTGTCTTCTGCCCCTCCTTCAGGTCTGGGACGCCGCCTCGGGCCAGTGCCTGCTCACCGTGACCCTGACCCTGGCCCTCCCTCGTGACCCTGTCTTCTGCCCCTCTTTCTGATCTGGGACGCCATCTCGGACCAGTGCATGCTGACCCTGACCGTGACCCTGACCCTGACCGTGACCCTGACCCTGACCCTGACCCTGGCCCTCCCGTGTGACCCTGTCTTCCGCCCCTGTTTCAGATCTGGGACGCCGTCTCGGGCCAGTGCCTGCTGGCCCGTACCGTGGCCCTCCCCTCTGACCGTCTTCTGCCCCTGTTTTAGATGTTGAGCGCCGTCTCCGGCCAGCGTTTGCTAACCCTGACCGTGACCCTCCCTCCGATCTTCCCCCTGACCCTGGTTTCTGCCCCTGTTTCATGTCTGGAACGCCGTCTTGGGTCAGTGCTTGCTGACCCTGACCGTGACCGCCACCCTCCCCCTGACCCTCCCCTCTGACCCTGCCTTCTACCCCTACTTCAGATCTGGGACGCCGTCTCGGGCCAGTGCCTGCTGACCCTGGTCGGCCACGACAACTGGGTGCGCGGCTTGTCGTTCCACCCGGGCGGCCTGTACCTGCTCTCGGCCTCCGACGACAAGACGGTGCGCACCTGGAACATCAAGGCCAAGCGCTGTCATCGGACGCTCGAGGCGCACCAGCACTTCTGCACGTCACTAGGTCGGTCCAGGAGGCCCTAGGGGGCCTTGGGAGGCCCTAGGAGGCCCTAGGAGACCTTAGGCCCGCAGCCGACCGAGAAATGAGCGGCTGTGGCCGAATGATGGGACACAACTTGTGCTGGCGTGGACTCTGAGCACGTAGCGAGCTGGAGTTTTCGGGTGTGTTTTTAAATGGGTCGCTCGAGTGAGAACATCGGGGCCTACCGGGACAGGTCGTGTGTCGTCTCTCACTTATTACGGGCTGGTTCGCCGCTATTTAGATGCGTAAATGTGTTCGGGATTTACTGCCACTTGCTCTGGGATGTGATAAGATTGCGACATTTATGAATGAATTAGTTAACTAGCCCTAATCGGCAGCATGATAAAGTCAGCGTGAGCCTGCCTTGCTATCAAAATTTGATGATATAGCACCCAATTTGATTGTCTCAAACACCAATGTCTTGCCTTTCTAAGGGGTGTCCTGCGTCACCAATCCATCACCGGGCTTCCGTTCACCTCGCTTTCATAGCGACGTGGCGCCTGTCTGCAGCGACGTCTCGGGCGCGGCTGGTGCTCTACTGAGACGCCTCCTCCGTTGCAGACATGCACAAGACGGCGCCGTTCGTGGTGACCGGCAGCGTGGACCAGACGGTGAAGGTGTGGGAGTGCCGCTAGCCGGCAAGGCCGCGCCGCCGCCCCGAGCTCTCTACATTCCAACCTAGTCAGGACTCGGCCGTCGCCACAGGTCTCCCGCCCGGCGCGTGACGACCGGGCCCGTGTCGCGTGACTTTGACCGGCGCCCGGCGACGTGACCTTCAGCCGCGCCGGGCAGCTGTCGCCCGGGTCACGCGGCGTCGACCGTCGACCCGCGCCGGGTGACGGTGACCTGGGCCGGGTCACGTGACGTCGACCCGCGCTGGGAGACGGCTCGGTCACGTGGCGTCGACCGTTGACCCGCGCCGGGAGACGCTGACCTGGGCCGGGTCACGTGACGTCGACCCGCGCCGGATGACGGCGAGCTGGGCTCGGTCACGTGACGTCCGACCGTTGACCCGCGCCGGGTGACGCTGACCTGGGCCGGGTCACGTGACGTCGACCCGCGCCGGGTGACGGCGAGCTGGGCTCGGTCACGTGACGTCCGACCGTTGACCCGCGCCGGGTGACGCTGACCTGGGCCGGGTCACGTGACATCGACCCGCGCCGGGTGACGGCGGGCTGGGCTCGGTCACGTGGCGTGCGACCGGTGACGGCCGGCGGCGGCCCGGCCGAGACCTGGCGCGGCGGCTAGACGGGGCGGCGCGCGCGCAGGCTGCCACCGTGTGATAGACGCGTGCGGGATGGGCGACGTCAGCCTAGGTATTTAATTCTAGTGTCCTGTGTGCTAGCCGTTGTGTTAACTTATCGTGTGGTGGCCGGCGCGCGCGGCGGTGCGGTGTGGGGGGCGCGCGTGTCGCCGTCGGCCCGAGCTTTGCCCGCTCTCGGTCTCCGCCGCGCTGGCGGCGCGCGGCGCGCGCGCTCTGCAGCTGGGCACGCGACTCGGTGCGCGGACAGCGTCCCTTGGGTAGGCTAGGCTAGGCAGACCTGTGATTGTTTCCCCCGGCCGCGTCTGGCGGCCCGGGGCAAGCCCGTCCGATTCGGTCCGGCCCTGCGGCAGGGCGCGGCCCGGGCGCCGCTCGCGGCGTCTGCCGGGGTGCAGCCGCCGCCGCCGTCGGCGCCGGCTCCTCCGCGGGTGTGCGGTCGCGAGCGGCGGGCGGCGCGCCCCGGCTCGGCGCGCGGGCGGCGGCCCGCGACCGCGGCCCGAGCCGCCTGCTACGACAGCTCGCCTACCGCGCGAGCGCTCCACGTCACTAGCTGGCGCGCTGACGCCCGTCCGCCCTGGTCCCGCCCCCCCCCCCCCCCATCCCCCGGTCTCCACCCCTCCCCTTCCGCACGCCGGCCGCCGGGGAGCGGTGATCGTAGCTTCCTCTGTTGCGTAGCCGCGGCCGCCTTGCCGCCTCCAGTGTATGCAATCTTGATATTCCTCCGTGTACATAACATGCTTGCTAACCTGTCCCGGCTGAAGCGGACTGATAGAGAACGAGAGTGCGAGAGACTGCGAGTGACTGGGCGTGGGGGCCATGCTGGAGCGGGCGCCCCTGCCGCCCTGCTGGCTGGTGAAGGGCACGGCGCCACTGTACGCGGTGCGCGCCGCCGATTTGTGGCTTTTTGGCAGCGCGTTTTTGTTTGTTACGTATCCTCACGTGTTCAGTACATGCTGGTTCGTGGTCTATTATTTTACCGGCAACGAACTGTGGAGCCGCGGGCCTGTGGACCGCCGACGGGGTGTGACGTGTGGCGTTGGTTTGCAATGAGCAGATGCTGCCAGGCGTAATACAAGCTCAGTAACGAACTGGCGTCGGCCGTCGACGGAAAGGCAGCGTAGCGCAGGGCTGGCGGCGCGCATCAACCGAACGGCAGGATGAGAAAATGTGCGCAGTGCTAGGCACAAGGTAGACGGCTGAATCCACCATCGCTAGTCTGGCTGCATGCCCAGTTCATGTTCGAGCCCTTTAAGTGCTCTTTCAAGCGGTGCTCAGAATTCGGCGGAAGGCGTTCGTGCGCGACTGTGGCGAACGGTCTGAAGCGGCGGGTTGGCGTGTATTCGGGTCGGGTTTAAACGATTTCCGTGGGTGTTCTCGGTATTGGAAACAATCTTTTCACGTGTTCGCGCTCATGCGCCGGAACGACAGTGGCGCAGCAACAGCCTTCAGTGGCAAAACAAGTGGGAATGAGGTGTGGGGGGGGGGGGGGGTCAAGTTACCCGGGAAAATAGATGTTGCGAAGCTCTATCGCTTTGTAAGCGGTTGTCGCGCGGAGTCGGTGGTGATATACACAAGTCTGGGTTTACCTAGCCTGGCCACGGAGCCTACCTTACCTAGCCACGGAGCAGCGAACGACAGCCGCTCAAGGTCCGGACAGCAACATCGGCAGTGGAACCGTCTGCGCGGGGGATACACCGTTCAAGAGGCAGTCTTTTGAGACTAAGTGTCTGCTGTCGTCGGGGGTCGCGGTCCTCTTGCCAACTCGGAGCTGCCAGTGACCATATAGACCTCAATTCCATTTCAGCGGTCTTCCGAAAATAACGTTACGCAATTTTGCCAGTTTATGCCACTTTTCGACCCTCCCCCTGGTTACGCACTGGTTACACCGGGCGACCCCCTCGTCCTAGTTACGCTGTGCAGCGCAACGTCCCAGAAAAGTAGCATTTGCTTGGCCCTACCTCCTTGTTATGCTCCCGTTACGCCAGTGCCCCCCCCCCCCCCCTCCTCCCTTCCCTCCTTCATGCGTAACGTAATTTGTGGACGAGCCCTCGGTCATTTCCCAGACAGAGAGGGGAACCCAAAGTACTGGCAGTCTAGCCCACTGCATCACACGGCACGTTAAGAAATGCCCGGTACTGGTTGGGTTACTGACTGCGGAGAATTGTTTTCCTGCCTTCTAACCATCGAATGGGAAAATAGCGCGAACGGCAGGCGGGATCGATGCTTAGCGAGGGCTGTGATTCAAACACTTCGCCAGCAGGCAATTTAGGAACTTGATAAAAACTGCACGCAGCTGCAAAACGCTGAACAAAATATTCAGCAGCAAATCCGCCTTCGCGTGTGTCGTTTACCGAACAATGTAAGGTCATGCATCAGTTGCATCAATCTGCCAGAAACATCCCAAACCACGGCCCCGTTATGTTGTATTCCATGATGTCAACGATGCGAGCTCTTTTTCTTCTTTTTCGTTGCCACTTCCCTGAGCTTGTTCAGCAGCTCACCATCCAGATCACTCGAGTCCGAATCATCACTCGCACGCTTCTTACTTTTCTTCCGTTTCTTCTCGCTCTTCTTGTGCTTCTTCTTCTTTTTGTGCCGGCCGGGTGACTTCTCCTTCCACTCGCCTCCATCACTATCGCGGTGCCCCTCCGGCACCAGCGGGCGGGACGCAGCACCACCGCCCGGCGGACGCGGCGGGAGCTTGGGACCGTACTCGTCGTCAGATGGCTCTGCCGGCGGCGGTGCGACGACGACCGGCGGCTGCGGGGCGTCAGCCAGCCGCGCCGGCAGCTCGCTGCTCCGCCGCCAGCTGTTCAGCTCGTCCAGGTTGACGTTGTCGAACAGGCTGAAACCAGCCTTCTTGACGGCGGCCGGCGGCGCCTGATCGAAGAACGCCGACGCCGTGGGGCGGGTGAGCGCCGCGGCTCCGTCCGGTGGCCGTGGTGGTGCCGCCCCGGCCGGCACCGGAGCAGCCGGCGTCGCCGCCGATGACGCCGGCTGTGACGTCACAGGCGCCGCCGCTCGTGTTGCCGACGGCGGCGCCGGCGTGGGAGGCGGCGTGGATTGTGACGTCGCCGCCGGAGCTTGTGACGTCACCGCCGGAGTTTGTGACGTCACGGCGGTCGGCTCGGCCTCCGAGTCGCTGCTCGAGTCGTCGAAGATGGCCTTGAAGAGGTCCGCCGGCGGCTTCTGGGCCGGCACCGGCGCCGGCACCGTCGCCGGCACCTGCGACGGGGCTTCGGCAGGCCCAGGAGCGGCCGCCCGCTGAGAGGTGTCCTGTGGGGAGCAAACGCAAGCTAGTTAGCTACTGAAAAACGTGACGTGCAGATCTTTTTTATCATATAACGACCGCCGCTCCGCAGCTGTGGTGATCCAATATCACCACTGACGATCAATAGTCGCTGCCAGGTGTCACAAAGACACAAACGTACAGCTGTGCCGTTCGTATGTCACCACCGACACCGAGCAGTCCCGTTGGCGGATTGTAGCCGCAGTTTCTGCACCGCAACGCGGCTTTCACCGGCTATTAAACAGAATTGCGACCTGCATAGTGGACCGATCCCGTTCAAGCCTGCGCATTACACGGGCTCGGACCCGTTACGCTTACCTGGCGGCAGCGTTCTGCTGGCGGAACAACGCCAGCTGCCAATGACAGTCGGAAAGCCACGAGACAGATTTGGCAGCTAGAGGACACCCGTGTTTTGTATTCGTCAGCTGCCAATGACAGTCGGAAAGCCACGAGACAGATTTGGGAGGTACAGGACACCCGTGTCTTGTATTGGGATGACGGCCGGCTGCCTAGCCCCTACCGTCCACCGACAGCTCACCTGACCCGCCTGCCCCCGTTCCGCCTGCGCCGCCTCGTCAGCCAGCAGCAGGTCCCACATTAACCGGCCGCTCTTGGGGTGCCCTCCCGGCTCCGACTGGGCGGCGGACGCAGATGGCGCTGCCGTCGGCTCGGCGGCAGGCGGCGCCTCCAGGGCGGGCGTGTCCAGCGCCTCGAACTGCGAGCGCGAAGGGCCGCTTCCGGAGCCCAGCGTGCCTACCAGGCTCGAACTGCGGGGAGGGCCCAGGTCAGGGCCACAGATAGGGGCCACGTGTGCCCGGTTTGAGTTGGGTCACACCGATTTCCCCACGGGTATGATGATTTCGGGAAACAGTGGGAAGTAACCGTCGCGATTCGTGGTGTCTTCATTAAGTATCCGCACTCTATGCCCGGGATATTATTGAAATCAGGCACCAACTACACAAGGTTCCATTCAGTAACATAACAGATGCGCACGCTGGCCGTAATGATAACACCACTATCGAGCACTAGTCTATCACCAGCCCCAGAGGTCGTCCCCGACCCCGTCCGCAGCCCACACGCGTCACAAGGACGGCGCACTTACTGCGGGTAGGGGTTCTTGACGTTGAAGCGGCGGCAGAGGAGCGGCGCTGGGTGCCACTCCTGGCGCCGCCTGGTGAGCGGGCCGAACATGCGGCGCCGCGCCGCCTCGGCCGCCGGGTCGTCGGCGGGCCGGGCGGCCGGCGTCGGCCGCTCCTGCTCGGCGGTGCCCGCTGAGACGAACCGGTCGGCCAGCGAGGCGGCCAGCGGCCGGAACAGCTGGGCCGCCCGGGCGAACTCGCTGACCTCGCGCTCCCGCTCCCAGTCGGTCATCGAGGCCGGCAGCAGCAGGCGGTAGTCCTCTGATAGACAGGTCAGGTCAGGTCAGATCTGTTCGCACTCCGGCTCCCAGTCTGTTAGAAAGGCCGCCAGTGCCGTCAGGAGGCAATAGTTCTCTGGTGACCACGACTCCCCACGACATGGGCCGGGCAGTTCCACACAAATGATAGCGAGGCGGATCAATCTGGAGTGCTAAGACCAACACCAATGCTACAGGGGCCACTGAAAACTAATCAGTGCAAGCATCGCCAATCACCGACTTATCAAACTGAACATGGCAGGAGCATACACATCTAACGTAAACCTAACGTTAAGATTACAAGTCATCTGCGCGACCGCGTGACACGATGCCACCGACGGTGGACCCACCTTTCCTATTGGCGGCCGACAGCTTGAGGAACTTCTCGTAGCGCGCCTGCTTCTCCGGATCGCGGGCGAACGGCTTCAGTGTGGGACCGGCCGGCGCTGGCGCCTCTGCCAGCAGCCGGTGTACCTCTTGCAGCCGCGCGCTGTCCGCTGCTGACGGCGGTTTCCCCGCGCCGTCGCCAGAGGCGCTGGCCGCCGGCCGCGCCAGCGCCGGAGCGGCCGGCGCGCTGACCGGGGGCTGAGGGTGAACGGCGCTGGCGGCAACGCCGGACGCCAGCGTCAATTTCGCCTCGTCAGCGTCGGCGCCGGGCGTCGCCGCCACCTTCTCCCCGGCTCCGCCAGGGGCGCTGACCGCCGTCGCCGCCGCCGCGGCGTCCTCCTCGCCGATCAGCCGTGCGCGCTGGCCGGCCGACAGCCGGTGGCGCTCGAGGGCCGCGCCGCTCCTCCGGCAGCGGCTCGAAGCGCGAGCCGCGCGCCCGGTGCTCGGGCCGGAAGTCGGCCGGCAGCGGCGGCGGCGGGTAGCGCGGGCGCGCCGCCGGCCGGCTCGACGCCAGCTGAAAGCCGGCCAGCGCGCGCGACAGCAGGTCGGCGGCCGAGGGAGCCGGCCGCCCTCCGCGCGCACCGCGCTCCGGGCCCGACTCGGAGAAGTCGTAGTTGGACATGTCCTCGGTGGTGTAGATGTCCTCGTCCTCCTCCTCGAAGGCGCCCACGCCGAACGCCTGCTCGGCGAGGCGAAGGAGGGTGAGGCCAGGACGCTTCTCTATCGCCTCTCTCTCTCTTCCACAAGACAAGCAACAGGTGCGCTATGACCACAAGCAAGACCCAACAAGGCAAATGAGAAATCGTATGCCTTCGATCAGCATTAGCACAGCTGACTGCAAGGCTACATCACTAGCGCAGAAGCCCAACCTCCCACTCCCTCCCCAGAGAGCCTCTACATCCACGGCCGACGAGTGCTGGGTTATCCAGTGTTGTGCTATCCACCGACCAGTGCCGGGCTATCCGCCGTCCAACAGCCCCCATCACCACACTGGTCGGCCGTTGGCAGGCGCCCTGCCGGCCCGCGCTCGCCCGGCGGCGCGGCCCACCTGTCCGCGGACGGCCAGCTTGCCCTTGGCGTCCCTGTAGCGGAGGGTCGGGTCGCCGGAGGGCGGCCCCAGCACGGCGCGCCGCTCCAGGCCGCGGTAGCCCAGCCCGAACAGGTCGTCCTTGGGCCGCACCAGCGGCGCCTCCGAGTCGTCCGGCGCCAGCAGCACCTCCCGTAGCGCAGCGTCCGAGTCCGAGTCGGAGTCGGAGTCGGCGGCCGCGGCGGAGTCGGCGCCGGGAGGGCGCGCGCAGCCGTACACCTGGAAGATCGGCGGACGGCGTCGGGGTGGGTGGTCGGCTGCTGGGTGGAGCGCGCGCTTACTTGTCACGAGCGCAGGTTGGTGTTGCTGTGTTAGTTCACCCACGATAAACCAGGGCTTTCTGGGACTAGTGTGCCACCATTCAAATCCTCGCATAAGACATTATGCTACACGCTTCGCAGGTAATGGAACATATCGAGCCCAGCCTACACACAAAATGTTTGAGATGCCAACGTGCATCGATCGATCAGCAGGGGCGATAAAGCTGAGTCAGATCACAGCGTGCACTGACACCGGCACCAGGAGCCAGCTCCTGACTGGGCCGGCACGCACCTTCTGCTGCTGTTTCTTCTCTGCGCGGGTGACGCGGGGCCCGATGCCCTGGCCGGGCCGCCAGCCCATCGACTTCAGAATCCGCACCCCCACCGTATCCCTGGGGGGGGGGGGGAAGGGGGGGGACGGGTGGGTTTACCAGGACGCCGCAGACGGAGGGAGCACGCGAGTGCACGCTCACATAGGTGTCTCCCAAGTCATGGAGTGGAAGCGAAACTAACCGTGCTAAGATCGAGATCGTGGCACAAAGTCGTTACCCAGCAATTTACTTCTTCATCTAATCGATGCATGAAGTGAAGTTGGTCATGGAGCATTACTGGCCTGCACGATACAGTTGCTCATCAAGGCACCTGCAGTCGCTGACTTTAGGACGCCAGGCTCTCAACTCAAACTCTCAACTCAAACTCTCACCGGACGGGCTTGATCAGCTGCTCGAGCACGGGCTGCCCGGGAATGGGGCCCTCGTCGAACTGTGGATGTCTTCGCTTCGTGCCACCTGTCGGCGCCTCCTGGAAGTCCGACTTGGCTTGCACGCGCTGGGGCGCTATCCCGTGCTCACCCCGGTCCTGTCCAGAAAACATCAAAATTGATGAAGCATGAGACCAGTGAGCAGTGTCAATGACGCTGAACCAAACCTCCGTTTGTGCTTCCCCAGCAAAGACCTTAAATTTTCAGCAAACTTCATAAAAACGCTGAGATACAGTTGTGAGCAAACCCAGCCAGCCCACGTTTAGCCAGCGTTATTGAAGTCTCTATCCACCTATAACCAATTACCATGCAGGATCACTAGCTTTGCCATCTTTTTGCGCACGAGACAACCACCACAAATTTCGCGTAATGCAAGCAAACACCATCCCCGAGCTCGTTGACTGCAGTTTCCCACGCACACGACCCATCCCCCTCCGTTGAGCCTCCGGGAGCGGCGACGCGCAGCTACCCGCCACGCTCACCTCGTCATCCATGAAGTCCTCAGGTCTTGCGGACCGGCCCTCGGCGCGGCTCGAGCGCGACGACACGAACGTCGCCGGTTGGAAGCCGTCCCGCGAGCCCACCGTGTTGAAGAAGCCGGCCGAGAAGCCGCCCGTGAAGGCGCCATGGAAGCGCTGGCGGCCGCGCGCGTCACGCACCGTCTGATCCTCCAGTGCCGGTGGTCGCCGCTTGGCGGCGCTGCCTGCGCGCCAGCCCAGGTCGGTAGGTAAAGGTGCGGTTGTGGTGGGTTAGTGGCGTGGGACTAGAGGTTCATCAAGAGTCTATCATGTGATACTTGGGCTTGTGGGGAAACAAGTTGTTAGTATTCAGCTGTTGGGCTTTTAGACAATTCAGTCTGCAAGGCCATATAATGTCTAAACAATATATATATTGCCTCTGGCTTTGGACAGGAAAAATTAGTTGGGTTGCCAACCAGGGCATCACTATATATACTTTTGGAGAGGCTGAGCCCCTCCAAATGTTGTCTTGAGCCCCTCCTAATGCTCATGAGAGCCAGAAAAATTATATTGTGTGTAGCAATTAAGAAATATGACAATACCACACAGATGCAGAGCATCTTACCTTCTTCCAGGGGCTCCAGAGGAGTCCCAAAGTGCACATTGTCATCATCACTGTCAGAATCCATGTTGTTTGTCAATATCTTGCTATGTGGTGAGAACAGGGCTGGAATCGGCACATTATGTTAGCAAAAGACCCATGCTGTACGTTTCAAGCATGGAATACAGGCAAAAGAAATACAATGAACATGATGTCTACAAGTTCTGTATGTGCAAAGGCAACAACTGCAACGCAGCACATTAACACAACTCCACACCTTATAACAAATGCTAGGAATACAAAAGCTTTATGTATTTATTGGTTTAGGGATCCCATGCATTTAGAAAATATGCCAGATCTGCAATACAGCTATACAAATTACACAACAATGTACATACAACCTGTGCATTTGACTGGCAGAGATGCGACATAATTTACCCATGGTAGAACCAAGGAGTACCACATGCATGCTGTTCAGGCTTCAAATTTGCATGCCAGGTGTCTGCTGCCATTTTATTTTCAAACAGAATGGTGGTTTTCTTACACCTTATTCACTCCATAAGACACAAGCAAGCAACAGAGACTACAGAGGCCAATTTAGTGCTCAGCTGTCATTGTGTGACCAGGGTCTCAATGAGGGCCAAGCATGGGAGCTGAAGGTGCTGATCACTTGACCATTATACCCTATAATTCCAGGTACAAGTTGGGATAACATCATATGCCATGCAAGGCAATGTGTCTTCACACCAGCAAAAGTTGAAATTGCACCAAACTCTTGAGGTAGACAGATGTGTTGTCGGTGTGTGGCCAGAAGTTGTGAGCCATCACTACAACTTGTTATGCATTTTGGAGCTCAATCACACAAATGTATTGTCAGTGTGTGGCCAGAAATTGTGAACCATCACTACAACTCATCATGCATTTTGGAGCTCTATTATACAAATATATTGTCAGTGTGTGGCTGGAAGTTGTGAGCCATCACTACGTCTTGTTACAGATTTTGGAGCTTGATCACACAAATGTATTGTCAGTGTGTGGCCAGAAATTGTAAACCATCACTACAACTTATCATGCATTTTGGAGCTCAATCATACAAATGTTTTGTCAGTGTGTGGCTCAAAGTTGTGAGCCATCCCTACTTGCCATGCATTCTAGAGTTTATTCAAAAGTTCCTGTCATCCAGACACCTAAAGATCCTCAACACTGCATAATATGGTAAAAATACTGAAACTGAAGGCGTCTTTACGCCAAAATTCACTGTGGGCAAATGCTTGTGGTGTAATACGAAATGCCTGCCCATTTTGCTCTTGAAGTCATGTCGTGTGAAGGAAGGGTCGTCAGGCTGAATTACCAACACGTCAAAAACATTCGATATTGTGATTGATGACATGGTGACTAGATACTACCTCGTTAGATGCCACAAGACATAAAATACTTACATGTGCAAAAAAAACGTTTTCAGATAATAGCACCGCTGAATCTGCTGCGCCCACGAGAAGATTGCCCGCAGCTCGCAGACGCGTCGGTATTTTGAAGTTTATGCGCCAAGAAAGTCAACGTTCATGATCATGTATAGAGGTGGGCTACACGGATTGTCTTCATCCCAGCAGGCATCGATAAGCATGCCCAGGTTGCCCTAATGACCCAGTGACCTATGACCCACTTGCGAGACGTGTGCACGTCATCCGGCTAGATGCTTGCCCGCGAATGATGAATCACATCCTGCCAGTGCGCTGTGGCGAAAACTCGTCGCCAGGCCGTGTTCCACGGGCTACAGAACAAAGGCGCTACGTTGACAAAAGTACAAATGAGAAGACATCACAGAGCGTCGCGTAGAAAAATGTTTGATCAAATTGCCGGAACGAGCAGCTACCCCACCGTAACTGTCATGGTTCTCTTTTGCCATACAGCTTTCCCTTCATGATGCCTTCGACTGCGCTCAGTTCAACGCGCTTATCTTCGGAACTGATCGTGACATCTCGCAACTGGCCCGCACCAGTCTCCAGCGTCATGTGCCGCATGAGCAATTACCGCTGTTCACCTGACGCGCGATCACGAGCCACTGTTCACCCATCGTGCGGTCATCAGCCGTTGTTCGCCCATTGTGCGGTCATCAGCCGTTGTTCGCCCATTTGCGGTCATCAGCCGCTGTTCGCCCATCGTGCTGTCATCAGGCGTTGTTCGCCCATCGTGCGGTCATCAGTTGTTCGCCCATCGTGCGGTCATCAGCCGCTGTTCGCCCATCGCGCGGTCATCAGGCGTTGTTCACCCCGCGTTCGGTGATGAATCGTTGTTCAACCAACGCCCAAAGTATGTGACAGCCAGTCTGGAGTAATGGTGCTGGAGGACAGCTTCCAGAACCGAAGACCAACGGGTTTCAGACTTGAACTCAACACGTCAAGAATGGAAGGTTGTTGTGTGAACAACGGACGTGTTATATTTCGATTTCCTTCACAGCTACATCATAAATATTTCATGTTTAAGCCTTGCAACAAGTTATTACAAAGTTAAAAAGCACATTCATCATCAAGTTACTTATCATGACCTGGCCACTCACTCTGGGTTCTCGGCACCCATTTCACACGAGACACGACTGGTCAACGTCACTGCCACTGTCTGCTAAAATCCTTTACTTCTTGCTGCGCACAATTCGGTACGGCGTAGTGACAGCGAACGGCGGCACTCATCACTTTTATGAATTTCAGCTACAACACCACGAAACCTGCATGACGACAATAACCGACATGCACTGTTACCGGCATTTCGGATCCTTCAGCAGGAAACCGCGCAGCTCTCACCGAAACGAAATGGTAAAAAAAAATGTAAAAATACGAAAGCGGCCGTCAGTCTGAGGCGCACTCTCCTAGACCTGCTGCGAATGTGAAGTAGAATGTCTTCCGGCCGGGATCAAGGCGCGCAAGAGGCCGGGCCGCTGGAAGGGCTGGAGCCGCTACTGCTCGTCCTTGTCCTTGGCGCCGTGCTTCAGGATGCGCGTGAACTCGACGTAGTCGAACATGCCGCCCTTGATCGGCGCCTCCTTGTACATCTCGTCCACCTGCCAGGCCGGCGAGTCGGAGACGAAGGTCACGGCAGGGATTACCATTCAGCACACGCGGTGAGTATGGCCGTAACGAAACAGCAAGGTTATCACGACAGCCAGGCCTTTGTGAAGCGTGCCATTGGACATGTTGGTAACAATACCATCTGGTAGCAGAGAGCTATACAAACTCAGACAGTGTGCATACAATCAGTTTACATACGATAAGTAAACAATAGTTCGCCAGCCAAAAAGCAGATACCCTGATGAAACAGCCAGCCGAACAAACGATTACATTCACCCGGCTGAGATTGCATTGCTTAATTTATCGAAAAGTGGCATCAGCTACAAGACCACAGACAAAATCATATATATATATATATATATATATATATACACATATATTCAAAGGATCAGTGGCCGCCCAATAGGTAGATGATGAGATTTTTCTCAACAAAGGCACACAAAACCCTATTTGATCATACGTGGCACAGTGGTCAGCATCACTGTGAAGTGGCTGGCACAGCACCTTGGCGACGGCGTCCACTCACGTCGTCGTCGGTGAAGCGGTCACCCATGCTGGTTAGCAGCTCGCGCAGCCGGTCCTCCGAGATGACGCCGGCGTTGTCCTCGTCGAAGCAGCCGAAGGCGTTCTTGATGACTTCCTCGGGGTCGGTGCCCTGCAGCCGCTCTCCGAATAGGGTGAGGAACATGGTGAAGTTGATGGGGCCGGGCGCCTCTCCCATCATGCCCTCCAGGTAGTCGTCGGTCGGGTCCTTGCCTGCCGGCGGAGGGGCATGAACACGTGACAGCGGCCACTGAGCAGGCAGGTATGAGCAGGCCATTCTGGTCTGGGTCTGGGTCTGGTATTGAAACAATGAGCACTGCATGGCATGAATCTAATGATTATGAGCCCTGCAAAGTATGGAGCTGATGGTGATGAGCACTGCACAACACAGATCTAATGATGATGTGCAATGCACAGAACAGATCTGCTCAAGATGAACAATGCACAGTATGGATCTGATGATGGCAAGCATTGCAGAGTACAGATGTGATGATGAAACGCATTACAGGGTACATATACAATGTGGATCTGATGATATGAGAACTGCAAAGTATGGATCTGATGATGATGAACACCGAGCAGCTAAGCTGTTTTGATGCATTATAAACAACAGATGATTCACTGGCTGACCGGGACATGTTTAGCGTTGGATCAATAACTGCCAAACCTGGGAGATGGTTGAATGCTAAATCAGGCTGATACCACAGAAACCTAATGTTTTCACATTTTGAAAAGATGCGCATTTACAGTACCATCTCCCTCAGTGGATGAAATGAAACATCACCCCACCCACAGGAGGGTGCCACTGCCCACGCTCATACCCAGTGAAGCCAACATATCATGAAGGTCTTCCTTATCAACGAAGCCATCTCTGTTCTGATCAATCATGTTGAAAGCCTCCTTGAACTCCTGGATCTGGGCCTGGCCGAACATGGCGAACACATTGGAGGTGGCGCGCTGGGCGCGCTTCTTGGTGACCCCGCGGCGGGTGGCGGCACGGCGCGAAGACATGGTGGCTGACAACAGAGGTGTGAAAGGTCAAATTGGTGCAAGGCCATACAAATATACATACATACATATGTATGTGTGCAAGGTTATACATACAATTCCACTTTGTGGGACAGTGATCTGCCCAAGACCTGTTTTCAGCTAGTCCATGGGATCCACAAAGCGAATGGCTTCAAGAAATTAATGTGTAACATCTAACGTACACAGTGCAAGTATTGTCTGACTATGGCAGCCCGTTTCAGAATACAGACTAATTAAAAGTTTCAACTTGAAATGGATGTGGTATATGGCAGGGTAGGAGCCATGCTGTTTCCTGTTGAAACAATCACAATATTGTTGCACAGTTTCAAAAACTCAATAAAAAATTTCAGCCCTCTTTTAAAAACATGCAACTCTTCCCCCTCCCTCCTATGCTTTGATGCATGGTCCTTAGGGCATCAGGCAGCTGTTTGAGCCTATTAACAGCTATTATTTCTTGCTTGATATTATGACAGTGGTGCATGTAGAAATCCTTAGATGGAACATTGTGGCAAAAATTTTCAGTGAATTATGACAAAGAAATCTATCAAACCCAGTTAAACTAAAAAACCTTCTTCTTAAAAGTAACTGAACAAAAACCATAAAATGGTAAATTTAGCAACAGGATAAATGCAACACTTAGTCAATGCAATACCCATGCAACAGTGGTTATCTCTGTTTCCTTTTAATCATATTGTTTAAAGGGAGATCTATACATCTCAAACTGTAGTATATCCCAGCTAAAATGCACCCAGTTATTGATGATACAGTGGCAGCACTGGCAAATGCTGTGTCAAAAATGTTTTGAATGATTGGTGGACATAAGTGATAACAGTGGTCATCTTTGATTAGAAAAATGAGAAAAAAAATTGAGCATTGTGGCAAAAGCAATGGTGGCTGGTGCCAGGTGCCAAACCAGCCTATGCACAGGTGCAATTCCTTCACCACTCATTTCTAACAGCAATAAGAACATGAAGTGCACAACCCTGCATGCAGGAGGCTGAGTTCCATGTGACCATTCTACCATTATCACACATGATTATCTCAGATTTGACAGTGCTGACAATGCTTAATAACTTGACAACAGATTTATATTCATACACAAATGTGTGTTTGTAGCATTCAGGTGTTGAGGATAGCAGCATAAATCTTAACATGACTTTCTGCACCACTCCAGACGCTGCATTAAAACAAGATGACCTTAGACCAACTGCATCTCTATCATTGGCCTTTGAGTACTAAATGGAGGATACAAAGCCCAGCAAGAGAAAAATATTTAAGAACATAATTAGCCTGGCTCAGCCCATCTACCACATCTTCTAGAGCCTCATGCATGTACAAACATCAGCAGCATGCTCCCACAGCCTTCAGGTACAAGGATCATAACTCTTACAGGTTTTGCTGCCTAAGCAGGTAAGCATTTGCATGAAAACAATTTGATCAGGCTTGTTTTTCCTAAAAAAACAAGCAAAATCTCACTATTGCCTGTAAAAGATACATTCACTACACTGGATGCTCATACAAAATTGGTGCACTTAACATTATGCTTGTGTGTACCACACCCAGGCTGTGCCATATTGTCCTGGGTAAAATCCTTTAACATTAAAATGTTTATCAGGAGTATTTTTCCTTAAAACTGTCTGAAACATCACAGTTCCCTGAAACCTTTGCTCCCTCTGCAATGTAATTGATGGTGACCTGCTGAGTCAAAGGACTAAGATTTAAGATATGCATAATTTTAATTTTCCAGCAATTTGATGGCTATGTTGGACCAGCATCCTCTGCACACTCAATCATCTTGGAAACACAAGATTTCAGGCTGCACAAAGGTTGAGCTAAAGCGGGACAGAAACTGGGCCACAATATTGGCAATCTGCTGGTGATGACATGATACCAATTAGCCAATACCAACAAGAGAGAAGAAAACAAGCCCTGTAGGAGACAAAGATGGTGTGTTTACCAATTTCAATGTGTGGTGGTGGGTAGGTAAGAACTGAATACTTAAAGAATTGGATGTAAAGCCTAATGGGCAACAAACTTGACCATCACCTCTAGAGCAACGAAAAACTTCATGCTGTATGGACACAACTCAGAATCAAGATAAACCTACGTTACTGTTAGGCATGATGCAGCAACGGATAGAATGTAGCAAAAATGCATATAAGTATTGCGCACCAACCTGAAAATTGCGCTGTCGCTTATGACCCGAACTGGGAGCAACGAACCACGCCCAAACAATGGCAAGGCACTACGACAGCGCTTTTGTCGATTTCTTGAATGACTCAGGAGCGTCAGTTTGAACATCGCTCTCGAGCGCTTATCGATAATAATATGTGATTTTGTAATCGAAAATTTTATTGGATTTATCTATGAGCAGCACTTCATCAAAATACGATAAAACATATCAAACGAACCGAATATCTCCAATATCATTTACTTTATTCAAAAACCAAGTCGTTAGTTCGGAACCAAATAGACCTGGCACCAGTGCCATCCATAAAATACGTTGAATATTTTGGAGTCCTTTTCCCTTTATTTTCGGCATCACCCAAGGTTACGCACTACTTTATATGAAAGACATCGGTCTTTTTGTCACACTGGATCGGGTGAGACTCCATGAAGCTACTGTTCTTCCATACGAAACGTAATTTATTGATGGTCTACAAGGTCATTTTCATCGTGTTGATACGGCTAGCGAAAGCCCAATTACCTGACGCCAATTGGTGACTGTAGAAAAGGAAGATCAACCATTGGGTCACTTATTCCTGTGCTAGCAACATTCCTATGGCCGAATGGAGCCTTTATCCATAAGCTATCTGACATTAGAAACCTTTCAAAGAAGAAAGCTGTCTGCTCTCTCGGGGTGATCCTCCTGCCTGCGCTTCCGTCCGCCGTGCTGTCCTTGGTGAGGAGGCGGTCCGACCACGCGTGTTATAGGCAGGTGAGGCACGTGAACGCGCTTCTTGTGAATACTTAATGCGGATTGCTGTAGCTGCGTGATTTCTGATTCATTGCGAAAATATTGTGATGTTGGAAAACCTTTGATGACCTTTTGCCCTTTTAGACTACTACGGGAATGATTAGTGTGAAAGGTCACCTGTGTCAGTCAAGATGGATATTGTTGCTGTAGTAGATGCAGGTGACTTAACATCATTGCTTTCACGGGTCTACCACATTCACATCAAGGCCGTTTAGAGTTTGTCACCCCGCACAGTAACCCCATTCAAAGGAATTTCCCGGAAGTTGTTTGATATTTGGGAGGTGCCAAGGTGTTGAGATCTCTCAAACTTACCAACTGGCTCAGTGGTAGCCACTCTGACTGTTTGCTGTAACTGTAATTAACTGTAACTGCAACTCTTATAACTGTAACTGTCAGTATTTTTCAGTCTGTTCACCAGGTCATACTTAACCTTACCTTATGGTGATCAGGAACTAAAGGACCACTTGGCATGTCAGTTCTAATCTCTGAGCTTCCATTCAAGCAGTAGAGCAGTCTTGTTCAAGGAATGTTTTATGTGGTGTTATTCCTCCATGAGATATGCCTAGATTTAAACCGCCCACTGGCTGATGATACTGCTGTGTGTGGAAGTGCTCCAATCACTTATGTTTTGGGTGCTGTAATTCATATGTGCTCAGATTTTCTGAATTTGTATGTGCTCAGATTCATACAATGCTCTGAATGGCAAGGGTCAAGGTGGATGTTGTTCAGGAAAACAATGATGTTGGGGAATGACTGTGGACTGCCTTTGAAGGTTCAGAGGTCAGTGGGAGGTCCTTTCCAGACTGTGATTTCAGTACCATTTGGGTAGAAGGTCAGACAGTTGTGGGTTGCAAGTATCAGTATGCATTACTTTGCACATGCATTGATTCATTGAAAGGTCTGACCTGGAGATCTGGAGAAAGCAGCCAGTCAAGGTCCTTAGAACACATCAGTGCACCTCAGTATCATCCACCAGCATCTTGACCACACTTCATGCTGGATCTGGTGTAGTGCCAATGAAAAGATCAGACAGCATTGTTTCCCTGAGCATGGATACTTGAGGGATGCCACTGGCATCATCGTTCGGTCAGACCTTGAATGTTGCACCTGCAGTCTCTGCATCTAGTGGGTAAGGAAAGCCCTGATCCAGCGCTGTAGGTTATCCCTCACATTGTGAGCTTGGAGCTGGAAAATCAGTTGATTCAGGATGCATTATGGAATGTTTTGCTGAATTCGGCGTACGCTGCTCCCATTCCGCGGACGAATGACGTGTATATCACTACATTCCACTGCGGCACTCCGATTTTCTAAATGTTTGAGGCGTGTAAAGGAGTTCTCTGGGAAATGTGTTAAAAGACTGTCGGGGATGAAGGCTTTAAGAGTTTTGGACGAAACAGAGGTGAGGCTCACTGGACGGTAGATTCCTGGAGACTGCCGGTTACCTTTCTTGAAGGTTGGTAATAACGCACCAAACTCTCGCTCTTGGGGGAGTCCTCCGGATGCAGCGACCTTCGGAGCAGCATGCTCACTGGTACTACCAGGACGTCGGTGGACCCATGAAGAACTCCGGCTGTTCACTGTCCGACCCAGGGGTGCTAGATGCTTTCAGAGAGGCCAGTTTGTTCGCCACTGTCTTAAAAGAGATGGCTACGTGTTCTGGAAACGGTCCGTCGAAGCTGCAAGGCATCACAGGCACGACATCCGTGAAAGCTGAAGAAGAGTTTGCAAATATCAGTGGTCTCTCCCTCGTTGTTGTTGGTCAATGCCCTATCTTCGTCAAGAATGTCCCTTGTCCCGCATCTCGGATGTAGTCATGGGTTGGCGTGCCTCCAAAGGGCCGGGGGGTTTCTGCTGAGTTCTGTTGTCAGTTTCCTTTCGTATTCTTTCAGAAGGTTTTTGATTGTTTTCTAGGTGGTCAGGGTGACACCGCATAAACTGAGTGCGGCCCAGAACTTAGCGCGTCCGGGTGTATGCCAGCCGGTGCCCTCTCTGTCGCTTATGTCACTATGATCATGTCACTTACACACCTCTACGCGGTAATAAGACGCCTAGTACGTACACCTAGTATGCAAAGTATGCACACTGAGATGCGCCCAGCTGCTGAACGCCTCCGAGTCACGTTACCCCCAGACTCCGACTTGTTCTTACCCAATATTTATGACGTGGTGGCTGGTCCCCGGGACAGGACCACATGCACATTTCCAGCCTCAGGCAACCATAGTCGGCTTGGTGTTCAAAAGACGTCGCAAGTGTAGAATAATATAATCGAAAATCACCAAGTTATACCGCAGACAATCAGTTGTAGTATAACAGACACGCAGAAGTACCACATGTATCAAGGATGAACTCGAAAGAAACCGTAAAGATTTCAGTCCATGAAATGGTGCATCATGCAACTGTTTTACCTGGGGATAGGCACGCCGACGCTACCATTGAACTTGTACTGTAGAAGCGGTGTGCAAGCCGCGCTTATCATGCCATGCTGTTCTCATGCTGGTGAACACCTGCGGTATGGGACCGATCCTGACCACGGTCGTCAGTTGACCTTCAGAAGCCAGCGAGCATCAATGCGCAGCAATGCGCAATTTCGCAGCGATTAGATAGCGCCTGCTAGATTGGTGCCTGTTGGATTAGATAGATCCCTGGTTTTATCGGATATGGGTAAAATACTGGAAACTTCCAGAAGCATGTGCAAGACTCGCAACGTGAGTTTGTCCGAACGCTCGTGCCAGCCGAACTCTATGCGAGAAATCCCGCCGTCATCAAAACGTCTGGCCTAGGTCACGGATCGGGACCACGTTCTGACGTCCAGCCTTGATAACACTGGCGGAACCCCGTGCAGCCCTCGGCCTGGGCCGTCCCCAGCCGTGCGTTAGTTCGGGAATTCCCCGCCGGGTGCCGGGCCGCTCCCGACCGACCTCCGCCGGGCCGGCGCGGAGAAAGGGCGCCCGCCGCGCGCCGCTGGCTCCAAGGCCGACGCTGCAGCGGCCGCGGCGAAAGGCGTCCGCCGCCGTGACCTGGCCGGCCTGCATTGTCAGGGAGGGGACCACGCCCGCGGCACGGCGCGCCGCTGGTGCTGGTGCTGGTGCTGGTGCTGGTGCCGTGGCGTGGTCTGGTGCGGCTCTAGCCGGCTGGTGTATCCGCTCACAGTGGGCACTAGCGTCACTAAGCCTCTGACCATACTCTGCGTCAAGCAAAAACACACAAAAACGACTGGAGCTAGGCAGTTCGTGCTTGAGTGACTACTTAAGTTCGTTGCACTCTTATACAATCACGTTTCTGGCGACTCCACCCGTTGCGTAATCTGAGACGTAAAACTTCATGTCCGCGTCTGGCCGTTACATAAACCTAAGCCGGCGAGTTCGGTCACATGATAGTTTCCGTTGTCAGTGCAGCGAGCAAAACAGACATTGATTGGTGTGTCTCGCTCGTACGACATTCGTAGCCTGCGCTCTTGATTGTTGGCGTCGTTGAGTTGTTAGCGCGGTACATGGAACGGCCGGGCGGCCTACGTTCTACGGAAAGGTAACCAACTGGAACGGCTTGCTGGCTCGTCAGCGCCGCCAGCTTAGTCCGTGTAAGGTCAGCAGAATTGTTGGCCGCTGTATGGTAGCCTGCCGTGCACGAAGTTCTGAGAGTTGTCTGTACTCGATCTAGTAAAATAGCCCTACTTTTGTTTGAACCCGCCCTCGTGATTAGTTTTGGACGGCACTTTCAGTAAGCCTTAGCTTGGCTGACGGCGTGGCTCGTCTGGTCAGGTGATTACTGCATCAATGCTTCGAAGAGATCTCGTGAGTTCTGCGGCACCGCCACAGCTCGCCTGGGGCGATGTTTTTTCGTTGCAGTTTCAACTCATGATCCGACAGCCGCGAGTGTTCATGATAACAGACAGGCACTGCTCTGCTCTGCTCTGATAACAGACAGGCACTGCTCTGCTCTGCTCTGATAACAGACGGGCGCTATTCTGCTGTGCTCTGATAACAGACAGGCACTGCTCTGCTCTGCCCTGATAACAGACAGGCACTGCACTGCTCTGCTCTGGTAACAGACAGGCACTGTTCTGCTCTGCTCTGATAACAAACAGGCGCTGCTCTGCTCTGTTCTGATAACAGACAGGCGCTGCTCGGATGTGTCCTGTGATAAGCCGGCGTCTCCGGAGACACCTATGGTGAGTCGGTCTCTCGGGAGACGCACACCGATGGAAAGCCGGTGTCTCGGGATGTCCCGGGAGACGCCGATGATAAGTCGGTGTCTCGGGAGACGCCGGTGGAAAGCCGGTGTCCGGGAAGCGCCGATGGAAAGTCGACGCCTCTCGATTTCCATTATTGATGTTCAATAATGAGATCCAGGGGTGCGAACGGCAACCGCGAGGCCCTTAAGTAGGTCTTTCATTGCAGGCTCGCTCAAAGCTCTGTTGCCCCTCAAGGTTGACGTCAGCACCCACTCGCGTCGGAGTGGCATTGAACAGCGTGGGACGGCGGTGCTGGAGCACCTCAGTAAAACACCAGCCCTTTATTGACGAGCGTCCAAGGTCAAGGGCTGCTTTCCAGCCGCTCCCGGCTGCCGGGTCTCCTCAGCCCGTATCCCTCGGGTCCCTGAGTTCGTCCCCCTGCCCTCCCGGGCACCCGCAGCTGGAGAGCGCTGCTCTCCGCCCGGCTACTGCCGCCGCCGCTGACGTCATCACGAGCTGCTGGCGCTGCTGCTGACGTCATCAGCGGCGCCAGCACCGCCGCCGGCAGCACCTGAGCGCCGGCGGAGGCGGCGGCGGCGGCGGCGGCGGCGGTGAGCAGTGTGCGGCGGGCCGTGGCGTCGTGAGCACCGCCCCCTGTGCTGCCGCGAGGACGGGATCGGTGTGCGAACCTCGGATCGGGCCGCCTACCTGCCGACATGCTGCTCTCGTGAGTGAGACGGGGGTCAGTGGGGTGCTGGCCGAGTGCGAGCGACGGAGAGGTGGCGACGGAAGCGCGGCACTTTTGCGGCCAGGACGGACTGGAAGCCGTTTTGGTAGTGTGGACTCCTTTTTTTCTGGTGCCAGAGGGCAGGTACAATAGATGATTAGGTTGGATCTGTGGTTTTCCGGTTGGTTTCGTGGTAGCCGTGTTGCTGTGAAGGACGTTTAGAGGATGAGGCGGATATCTACCTTCCATAGGACACTGGCTATTCAGGGGCTAATTGGCCCTATTGTGTTCGTGCTGATTGAGATGGAGTGGCAGCAGTTGTCGGGTTATCCTGGCTGGCTTCCCATTCCTACGACACTGATCAGCTATCTCGCTCTCGTGCTGATTAAGACCAGGTTTTGACAACTTCCCGGGAGAGCCCGATACAGGTTTTCGTCCCAACAACATCGAAGATCCCAACATTGCAAAGCTAGTCGGTGCGTCCGGCAGCTCTTACACTCGCAGTATCCAAGTTTGGCCTTGAGCAGGGTCGTAAACGCACCACGTTCAGCTCGGTCGGGGCCGGGCGAATAGACGAGCAGTGAGGGGAGAAGTAGACGTTGCCACCTGCTGCTCTGCCGTAGCTGACTAGTTCCACATCATCACCTTATCGCTATCCAGTGACGCGATCTGGACATATCGGTGCGTGTGCACTGTGATGCATAGGGCTTCGGGCGGAGCAGTTTGTCCGGTATCGCTTGGCATGATAAACAACTTATTTCCGAGCCTCCGGCTTTCTCTGTGAAAAGCTCAGCGGGTGCGAACCGTCCCCACCCCCTGAGCTGGCCCAGTCGCTTTCCTCCCATCTGGTGTGCGTGGTTTCCACACCGTCTGATGTGTTTCATAATTCCTGGGAGCTTTGGCGAAAATGCCGTAATAGCTGGGTAGGGCTTCACTTTTACGGCACTTTTAGGCCGCGATGATTGATCATATTTGAGCGGATGCAGTGGCTTTGGAGTCCGCAGAGCGTCCGGAATTAGTCTTCGCTGCGGAGCCGGCTTTTTGTCACGGGCACAGCCGCTCTCTGCTCGAGCGGCTGTGGTGGAAAGTTGCGGAAAGCTCATTTTAAGGGGTAACAATGGTAGGTCGAATTCCAGCGCTGCTGTTCCCATCCTGTGGGGCTGAGGCCAGGTCTCCCCCGTGAACGCTCCGTGGCTTTGATGTCCCAGGTCTCCCTGACATACGCTGTGGAAAAGCAGCGGTCTCTGCGGCCTGCAGCGCACGCACGCGGGGCTCTCGGAGCCTGCCGCGGGCGCCGGGCCGTCAACGGTCTCCCGGCCGCCGTCACGCTTGCGCCGCTCCGGTGGGGCTTGGCCCTGGCGGTGCTGGGCCGTCAGCGGTCTCCCAGCCGGCCGGGGTCTCGCTGGCGCCGCTCCGGTGGAGCCTGGCCCGCGCGGTGCTGGGCCGTCAGCGGTCTCCCGGTCGCCGTCTCGCTCGCGCCGCTCCGGTGGGGCTTGGCCCTGGCGGTGTTGGGCCGTCAGCGGTCTCCCAGCCGGCCGGGGTCTCGCTGGCGCCGCTCCGGCGGAGCTTGGGCTGCGCGGTGCCGGGCCGTCAGCGGTCTCCCGGTCGCCGTCTCGCTCGCGCCGCTCCGGTGGAGCTTGGCCCCGGCGGTGCTGGGGTGCCGGTCGCGGCCGGCCGGGGTCTCGCTGGCACCGCTCTGGTGGAGCTTGGCCCTGGCGGCGCTGGGCCGTCAGCGGTCTCCCAGCCGGCCGGGGTCTCACTGGCGCCGCTCTGGTGGAGCTTGGCCCTGGCGGCGCTGGGCCGTCAGCGGTCTCCCAGCCGGCCGGGGTCTCGCTGGCACCGCTCTGGTGGAGCTTGGCCTTGGCGGCGCTGGGCCGTCAGCGGTCTCCCAGCCGGCTGGGGTCTCCCTGGCGCCGCTCTGGTGGAGCCTGGCCCGGGCGGTGCTGGGCGCGCCGGTCGCGGCCGGCGCTGTACTTTTCCCGTCGGCCGGCGAGCGTGGCCCGCGGGCTCGTGACAGGCGGAACCGACCGCCACCGCTCGGGTGGCGCGCGCCGTCTCGCAAGCCCGCTCTTAGGTGACGGGGGGGGGGAGGGGGAGGTGACTGCTCTTGGTGCTAGCGATAATTGCCAGACGTACAGCGCTGGGGTAGTGATGGAAACGAATCATTTCGAGCAAGGCGTCGTTCAAACCGTGCGGCCATATCTAAATCATGCAGCTGCAATTTATGGGCTGCTTTTCCCCATGATTTTCTTACGTCATTGGTCATGGTCACTAGTGCTTCGCCGTGGCTGGAGCCTTGGCTTAACTCGGATAGCGTGCATGTAGTCCAAGGCTGCCGCCATAGGTGGACTGTGTGCCGCTCACGACGACGACAAACGGGAGGCAGGAAGCGAAGGCCGCCCGTTGCTTGTCGGCCAATCAAGTCAAGGCTGCCGAAGGGCCGGCAGTGATCACTTGGCGTGGGGCGTGTTGCGTGCCGCGTTAATGGCTGGAAGGTCAGCACCACGCCCTGCGCCGTTGGTTGAAACTCGGCGGGCTTGTTTTTAATCGATAACGGTGTGCGTGATTCACATGTATGCCATTAGTGGGACATGATCAAAGCGGTTGCGAACTCGCTTTGAACGCGTCGGCTTGAAGTCTGGCACCGGCCTCATCACTGCCGTTTGTCATTTATGAGGTGTTAAAAAGGCAAAATGAAACGGCGATGCCGAAAATGTTTTAACTGTCACGCCTTTTTGGAATAAAAAACAAACCAAGAAATCTATAGCGGGTCTTCCCATACACTTGTGTGCAGCGAATGGGTCCGCCACTCCCACTACCTCCCTGCTTCGCCGGCCGTCATTATGTAACGCGGTCCGCCGTATTGGCACGGCCGCCGGGCGGTGCCGGCGCCGGCGCGTGCCAGCCTCTCCGTCCTTTCCGTCAGCTGTGGGAGAGCGCCGGGCCGAGAGCAGCGAGAGCAGAGCGTCCCCCCCTCTCAGAGGCCTCGCCTCCTCGTCCTCCCCGTCAGCTGTGGGAGGGCGCCGTGCCGAGAGCAGAGCCCCCCGTCTCCCCCCTCTCAGAGGCCTCGCCGTGCTAGCCTCCTCGTCCGCCCCGTCAGCTGTGGGAGGGCGCCGTGCCGAGAGCAGAGCCCCCCGTCTCCCCCCTCTCAGAGGCCTCGCCGTGCTAGCCTCCTCGTCCGCCCCGTCAGCTGTGGGAGGGCGCCGGGCCGAGAGCAGAGCCCCCCGTCTCCCCCCTCTCAGAGGCCTCGCCGTGCTAGCCTCTCCGTCCTCCCCGTCAGCTGTGGGAGGGCGCCGTGCCGAGAGCAGAGCCCCCCGTCTCCCCCCTCTCGCCGTGCTAGCCTCTCCGTCCTCCCCGTCAGCTGTGGGAGGGCGCCGTGCCGAGAGCGGAGAGAGGAGGTCTCGCCGTGCCAGCCTCCCCGTCCTCCCCGTGAGCTGTGGGAGATCAGTGGGTCAAGAGCGGCGAGAGCGGCCGCGGGCCTCGCCGGCTCTCGGCCCCGGGGGCGGCGAAAGTGGTGCGCTCAGCCGGCCGGCGCCGCGCTCGGCTCCGCCGCGCACGTGTGGAGGTCTGCCCTGTGACGGTCGGGCTCCGCCGGCGCGGAGGTGGCCCGCGCAGTGGCGGCAGAATCCTGAAAGGTGGTACCCCCCCCCCCTCCGCTCTCCGCGACGTCGATTTGGGGCTTTGTCGGCGTCGGGTGCCCCCCCCCCCCCCTCTCCCGTGTCGATTGGGGGCGTCCCATCGTCAGTTGTCTTGACAGCGTTGGCTGGGTCCTCGCCGGGTCGACTGGGGTTCTCCCGGTGGCTGCTGAGCTCCCCCTGGTGGCATTGGCGCCCGCAACATTTTTGGCGACGGCAGATTGATGTCGGGAATGTCAATACCTACTACTTCCAAACCCCCCCCCCCCCCCCACCCCGGTCCACGACGCACCGCTGTTAAAGGTTTTGGTGGACCGTTCCTAGCCAGCCTGGGCTCTTACGAAGTTGCTTCAAACCTTTGCTAAACATTCACCTGCCAAGATTAAACCATTCAATGAAGTGATTCACAAGCTGGCTGAAAGTCGACGCCTGTCTTAAGACCGCCCGGGGTAGGAGATGCGCGCGCCGTGGGCTGCGAGTGACTGGCGCGATGATTCGTTTTCACTGGTCCAGCTCCGCCCAGACGGGTTTTCGATGAAGTGTGCGAAGGCCAAGGGCGGTCTTGTCCCGTCCGGTGTCTACGCAGCTGTTCGTTTGAAGGCTCTTCCAGCCCCAGGCGGCGTCTCTGCGCGGCATTACGAGTGAAGGAGGCAATTGTGACGCGCTCTTGTGATCTACATTTGTTATAATTTGCGAGCTGATTTATTGATATAATTAAATTATTGACATAGACCTGAAGGTGAGGAAAGTCATGCCAGTACGTATGCAGTGTAAATGCGGATGTTCACAGTGTGAATCCGTACCCACACGTGTATAAAGGCATCGAAGAACAGAAAAAACGTGTTGCTCGTTCAGAATTCGACGAAAATTACGTTAGCGAAGGAAGGTTGGACCGATCCCAACGCGATCCATTCATCATTGAGGAAAACACAGATGTCTTGGCCATTTACACAGGTGCGTAAATGGCCGTGACCGCCAAGTAAGGCCTGTACTGTGATTACTCGGTATACCACTAAGCCTTCGGCTTACGAGCAAATCCGCTCAGTTCTTGAAGTTTCTTAATGCTGATGACGTTGGACATAACCAATGTCAGAGTCGTATCATCTCCACCGTCGGGATCAGAACGGAATCACCTGAAGCTGAGCACCACCTTGGGCTCGCCACCGGCGGCCAGCGGCACTAGATGGAGGCCATCACGTGACCGGCCGCTAATGACGGGGCTGGTTTGTGTGCAGTTCGCTGAGCCCCCGCAGCCCGGCCGTGCGAGCACTGGGATCTCGGAGCTCATCTTTGTCTCATGTGGGGTCTTGTAACGTTGTGCAGGATGAGGCCGCGCCGTTTGACCCCTTTGACAGAGGGATGCGCATTATAAGGGATCATGATACTCGTCTGGAGGACATACGGCGAGATTCTACATAGTTTGTAGCCAGGCCATGCCTTTCAGCGATATTCTAGGCGACGTGAGAGATTATTGCGACGGTCGGTTCATGACTCCCTGGCGCTGTACAGTAAGCAAGTACACAAGTATGCATTCATTCTGCGTGCATGGCGGGTGCATGCGTGTACTTCTCGTTGCGTCACCAAAATATCCGCGTGTAAGTCCCATCGGCCTCCCCTGCAGCCCCGGCGTACCACTGCAGCTCGCCCCCGCCGCCCCGCGTGCCGTAAGGTGTGTTAACAGCCTTCGCGTTCTGCCGCCGCAGGGGAGCCATGTGTCCGCTGTGGCCGCTGCATCTGGTGCTGATGTACCTGGTGGCCCTGGTGCCGCTCTGGATGGCCTGCTGCGGCGCCGCCTCGGCCGCCGCCAGCGCCATCAAGTTTGACCCGGCGCAGGTGAGTCCGGTTACCTGTCAGATGGGTCACCAGGCGGGAGGTCGGGGGTCGCCACACGGGGGATAGTCACCAGGGGGGGGGGGGGGGTCACCAGGCTGGGGAGGGGTCACCAGGCGGTGGATCAACAGGCGGGGAAGGGGTCACCAGGTGTGGGGAAGGGTCACCAGGTGTTGGGAGGGGTCACCAGGCGGGGGAGGGGTCACCAGGCAGGGAGAGGGGTCACCAGGCGGGGGATCACCAGGCGTGGAGGGGGGGGGGGGGGGGAGTTGCCGTCGGACGGGCTTCTGGCTCAGAGTCGGAGCCGACTCGGAAGTCATCGAGGCTTTCGTCGAGTGTATGTCAGACCTATCGCTATGAAACTTGGTGAGTGTGTGTTTGAGTTGGAGTTGAGTCGACGGCGTTGACTGAAATCATAGGTGGGTCGGCGCAAAGATAAGTTGGGAAATAACCGATGTTCTCCTGGTAATAAATCCTGCATCTTTCGGGGCAATAACTCAAATAATGCATCTTGTCTGCAGGAAATGCTACACAAGATGCATTGTTTGATTGATAGGCAAATCTATGACGCAAAATGTTTTAGGTAGCTCAAAGTGGTTTATTGAGTAAGATCTTCTCACTGGAATCGACACCACCGGAACCACTACGGAATCAAATCATGTCCCTTTGCATCCGCGCTACATCACCCCCAAAATCGTGTTGTGGCACTTGGAGTCAGATCCGAGTTCTGAGCCAATCCACGCTTTGCGAGTCGGAGGCGAAATCCAAATCGGCAAGATACGGAAGGCCTTACACCCTCCTTAGTTGGTCAGTCAGGCGTCAGTTGACGCATCACCCATGGAGCATCGGTTACCACCCGCCAGTGCAACCAACGCGGCGGTGGCTCTGCGCTGTGGCGGCTTGCGTGTTTCTGCGTTATGGCGTGGCCGCCCTATGGCCGGCGCGTCTGTACGAAGCCGCCAATCTGTCGGCATCGGAGCGGTCGGTCAGGAGGAGGGGCGACGGACAGGCTTTCCTCAGTACCCGGAAAACAAAACACCGGTGACGAAGCCAAACATCGCCCAAACAGAACAGCATCCATCGGTGTATTGTGCCATTTCCCAACAGTGGCCGCCTAAGTCACCCGGTCGGCGTATCTGTTTCGCCATATTGACCACCTGCAGGTGTTCATAACCGAGCGACGTGTCTCATTTCTCAACGTTCGCCACCTGTGGGGCAGAAGTTCCGACACATCCAACATGTTCGCCATCGCTGCCGGCATGTCCCGCGCGACCCGCCAAGTCATCGCGTTTGTCCGTGCCGTCCAGCTGCCGGCCGGTGTATTGCTGCAGCGACATTGGTACAAAGACCGTCCGGAATGGCGCACCTGTGCGGCCTTTATTGCTGTCCGCGGCGCCGGGCTGGTCCCGCTGAGCTGGCGCTGTCGACCACGGCCGGGAAATGACGCGTGCCGACGGCTGGTGAGGGGGGGGGGGGGGGGGGAGAGGGCGGTCAGGTAGTCACGTGCCACCGACGCGTGCAACCTGTCAGGTCAGGGGAGGTGGGAGAGATACTGCGGCGAGGCGGCGACGGGCCTGTTTTAACGCGCTCGGGTGGGGGTCATATTGACCTCCCGAAGGGTTTTCGGAATGGTTTCCGAACGGCGCGGCGTAGCTGCACCAAATTTTGCATAGGTGTAGACAATTAAATAGCGGATCGTCTGACATCAGAAATTTTGAATTTGCCTTGTAAGGTCGCTGACCTATGGCAGGTCAAAATAAGGCCATGGTTTCAGTGAAGGCAATTTCTAGGGAACCGTTCAATATCAAACAACGGAATGTTAGACGAAGCCATACATCTCTGAGATGCTTTCTTCGGCAACACAACAATTGACTGAACAAAAGGCCAGGTATGAAGCCTGGAATTCCGTCTTGTTTGACCTTATTTGACTCGAAGATCATGACCTGGGAGGCTCAAACTTTGACCTAAGAGAGTTCACGTACAGGTCAACACACTGTGCCATTCGTATATCTAGCTCTCTCAGTTCTTGAGATCGTAGGGGGTCAGATTGACCCCCCACCCGAGTGAAGGGTATCCCACCGGCCACCCGGCGCGTGTTAAGAAAGGAAACGCTGCGGCGCGTCGCCACACATCCCTTTATGGTTCGCGAGCGACTGCAGTAGTAATATCAACGCCCAGGGGCCTGGCGCAACCGGGATTTGAAGCCGGATCTGCACGTGGGAGCCAAAGGCACTAGCCTCCCGGCCATTCGGCCAGCGCTTTTGGTCGTGGCAGGCCGCATCTCTGTCATGTGGTGTGTCAGTTGGGTCGCTTCCCGTGCGCGGATGGGTGTCCGGAGGTGATGCCGCTGCTGTTGGTCAGGACGTTACCACGCTGCGCCGACCTCCGCCGAACGTCGGCCCGGTCAGCCTGGTGTGGTGCAGCTGGAGCCGTGTGCGGAGCGGTTAGGAAGGGCACGTGCTGTCCTGTTGAGCGAGCCTAACGTAATTGTAACCCCACCCCGCTCTGACCTGACCTGACCTGACCTAACTTGATACGCCCTGACCAGTCCCAGACCGGTCCTGATCTGTCCAGACCCGCCCTGACCTGACGTTACTCGCCCTGACCCGTTCTGACCCGCTCGCATCTCCCGGCAGGTGGAGCATCTGATGGAGGGCAACTCGACGGCGGTGCGCGTCGAGTTCGCCGACCTGCCGCCGGGCGACTACCAGTTCCGCGTCGACCCGGTGGACGCGTCGGGCGGCGTCGCCGTGGCGCCGCGCGACATCGTCTTCCGCGTGGACGGGCCCGACTCGGTGTGGCGCGCGTTCAACCTGACCGGCAAGTACCTGGGCCACGCGGCTGTGCGCGTGTCGGGCGGCCGCCGGCCCGCCGATGCCGCCGACCCGGCGCCGGCGCCGGCCCCGGAGGCCGAGCAGGAGCTGCCCGTCAGCGTGGTGCGCAGCAACCGCCGCTTGGACAAGATCTTCGCCTACTCGGTGGCGACGCTGGTGTCGCTGACGTACGTCAACATGGGCTGCACGCTGGACCTGGCTGTCATCAAGCAGTCGATCGTGCGGCCCATCGGACCCGCCATCGGCGTCATCAGCCAGTATATCATCATGCCTCTGGTGAGTGTGGCGTCATCAGCCAGTACATCATCATGCCGCTGGTTAGTGTGGTGTCATCAGACAGTTCATCATCATGCTACTGGTGGGCGTGGCGTCATCAGCCAGTACATCATCATGCCGCTGGTGAGTGCCGGCCTGTGGCGTCATCGCGTCTCCAGTGAGTGTCTGTGTCTTCGTTCGGCGGAAGTATCGCGGGTTTTTATCGCGCCGCTGGTGGCATCTGACGAGTGGTCGCCGTCGCGACGCGTGGCGAACGGAGCAGCTTCGTGGCGCTGATCGTGAGAAGCGGGGCAGAGATCGTGAGAATCGGGCCAGAGTCGAGGGGCGGGCTGAACGCGCGAGAGATGCCCGGCGAGACGAAGCCCGCCGGAGACTGCTGGCGCGTGCTGGCTGGGCGGACGGGCATTCTCAGACGCCGCATTGCCGGCCAGCGCGACTTTCGGATGAGCTCACCGGCGCGGGGCGGGCGAATGTCGGGCGGAGCGACCGACGCGCCGCAGCGCGGGTGACGTTGCGTCACACGGCTCCCGTGACGAGGCCGGCGGTGACGACCCCGCCGCGGGGCCCTCCGGACCGATGTCGCCGGCTGGCTGCGCGCGCTGCGTCACGCTGATGGGACAGGCTCGAGAGACGGGCCATCTCATAACTGCAAGTCACCACCGCTGGCGTCGGGGGGTGGGAGACGCGCTGGAGCTCCTGCCCTGAAGCGCGCCTGACGTCCGGGAACTGTTTGTTTATGCTGTGATGCTTCTCGGTTATGGGGTCCGCTGTTGTCCCCATGTAGTGTTGACACGCCCGGCAACGAAGCTCTGCCACGTGGGGCCACATGGCCCCATGGTTTATTGGCACATGTCCACATGTCCCGAGGCTTATTCAGTCGCCACGGTCACGAATTGCGCGGCCTTGTGAACTCCGTGGAAATCGGTGGCGAGTTGGTAGGCCAAATCGTTTCCTCCAGCTGGTAGTGGATCACGTATTCAAGAACAGCTTACCACGCGCAGTGCTGTCTTACCGGCGCGAATTAATCGTCAGGAAATGATCTTCGGATTGTGCATTGATCGCGAGACGGTCTTGAGACGCCCCCCGCCGCTGCGCGTGCGGCCGGACCCGGCGGACCGGGCACGGCCGGCCGATGGTCATGACAGCGCGATTGCCTCGTGCCGCCGAGTGATGGCCGGCCGGCCCTCTATTACGGGCTGTCGGGACGGCCGGTGGCGGTATCGAGCGACGCGGCGCGGCCGGCGCTGAGGGGAAAATGACGGGCCGACGAGACGGCCGGTGACATCTGTCATTGACTGTCACCCGCAGGCTGCCCCCATGACCGGCGGTGCGGCCGTGTTTAGATGATAGGTGTTGGGATTGCGGTTGGTTGAGGTGATACTGGGCTTCCCATCCCTCTCCGTTGTTGCGCGCTACCGCTTTGGAATCGTCCACGGAACATTTGCGTTTCGGTGGTCGTTCCGTAAAGGCCAAGTGCAATAGATGATATTTATGCACATTTCGGTGATGTATTAGTTAGTCATGTGTCGGGGCAGTTCATAGCCAGTCCGTGTCGGTCTGTTTTTAGAACGGCGCGGTAACGCTAGGTTTAGGTGAAACTAGACGCGTGCGACATTCTGTCCGAACATATCCGTAGCGTCTTTCCAGGATAGTGCATCCGTCGCCATACGGCTGCTCGCAGCTTCGGAGCGTTGTTCTCCGTCTGCTTGCATGCGTCAACAGGCGTGGGCGGCGCTGATTGGTGCTGCCGGGCGGTGCGAGCGGCCGTGCGCACAGTCCGGACACGAGTCCCTCGTGCCCGTGCCCGTGCCCGTGCCCGGCTGCGGTTGGTGCCCGGACGGGCCCGCGCCGCAAGTCTGACGCGTCCCCGCATCACACGGGAAGCCGTCTGGCCGCGCTTTCTGCCGGCCGCGGCTGCTGGCAGAGGACCTCCCGGTCCCGGTCGGACGACGCTGGGGCGTCCGCACGCGATAGAGGTTCGCAGCGTGAGCTGGTCTGCTGCGATCGCACAGCCTTAGCAACGAGGGCGCCTGGGAGACATCAGCTGCGTATCCAGCATAACGTAAACGCCAAAATTCTGACTGACTGAAATCCTGATATTCAGTGTTCGTTGTCCACCGTCGGAGCCCATAGACGTGGCCTCGAGAAATTTGCGACGTGTGCGTCTCCAATGCCTGGCGTTCTCGGGCTTTTGTGATGAGCCTCGTGCATGAGATGGGTTTCGTCACAACTGCGGCCCAGAGCCATGGGTCGAGATAAGCACTTCCGCGCCGTAGATCACTTGGCGCCAGAACCTCATTCCGAGGTCGGGGATTTGGGAGGCGAGGTACGAAACCGCAGCAGGCTGGGGCCGCCACTCCCCGGTGACATGGAGACCGCCTCAGCGTGCGACATCGGCCACAGTCCCGGCACAGCCCCACTGGAGCCGTTCTCACGGCCGCGGTGCGGGCTGGTGCTCGGCCGGGCCGCCGTCGCACCGCTGGCCGAGCCGACCCGTTCTCGGCCGGCCGCGAGCTGGCCCAGCACACGCGCCGGGCGTCACCAGGAATCTCCGGGGCCACCGGCAGGCCGCGACGGCTGTGACGTCACCGCGGCCGGGCGTTATTTCCCGCCGGCCGACGTCACGGGCGTGTGGTAAGGCTCAGAGGTGACCTCTGCGCCGCTGGAGGTCGCGGGGAGCGTACCGTCGCCGCCGGCCGGACGGTTGAGAATCGGACACGTCGGGTTGTGTCGGAGGCGGGATGGAAATGTGACCTGTGCCGGGCTCCGTGTCACGCCGGCGGCCGGGGTTGATTTGACGTGGCCCCTGAGTCACGTGACACGCGGTCGTCGGCTCGTGAGGGGGCCACCGGGCTGAACACCGACACCGACACGCGTGCTTCAAACGCGCTGCCCTGTCAGGCCCGGAGTAAAGGGCAGCCGCGCCGATCTGGAGTCGCGCCCCGGTCGTGACGATGTGACGGGGAAAGTGCGGCGGTTTTCGGCGCTGGCTATCGACCGCACCACCTGCGCACTTCGACAAAGCCTTTAGCGGAGGGCTGCAGCGTGCTGCCGGCGGCTGTATCGGGCGTCCTGACCACCCAGGGTCCCCCGGGCCGGCCCGCTCCGCAGCCGACGGCGTCTGTCGGTCCAGCGGGGTTGTCGCGTCAGCGCTCGGATGAATCTGACCTCCATGGACCGAGCGACGTGCGCGGCTCAAGGCGACGGGCCGAGCTGTTGCTGCTGACTGGCCGGTGGAATCCACGCTGCAGGCGCGGCGCGGCTGGGCCTGAGGCGACCGGCGCTCCACCGGGGTGAACACCCTCAGGCCCGGCCATGACCTGGCGAAAGAGAGCGCCTTCGCCGCCGCCGCCAGCCGGGGTTGTGTAACTGACTTCCGTCCGTGCCAGGCACGCCCGGAGCGAGCCTCCGCTGCCGGCGGTGCACCGGTCCCGCTGGCCGCCTTTTCCGGGTGAGCGCGACGGTGGTTTTCCTCGGCCGGCGGACACTATCGGCCCGCTGAGCGGACGTGCTGACCATGGCCCAGCCTGCTGCCATAAGCGACCGGGACAAAAACGCGTTATCGCCGCGGTCTGCTTGCTTTCACTCTGCGCACAGGCGATCGAGCTGAAGCAGCATCCAAGGTTAGCACCACTTTACTGAGCAAATATAAGCTGTGTTTGGTTGTAGTAGTTTTATTATACGTCTGGCATCGCCTTATGCCGCCGATTTGCTTGCAAAATGCCCACACAAGGCGTGCTGCGATTTGGCGCTGCTGTAACACGCCGCCGCTCTGCTCGGCCATAATGACGCACCCTGGTCTTTGGTCAGCGGGAGCTCTCGAGTACGCCAAATACCGCGGCGCAATCACTATTTCGGTTCACCTGCCGATTCTACGTCGTGATTCACCGTGACTCACGCCCGTCAGCAGGCGTCGGGGCTATCAGCGAGCCTTACCACGAGCCGTTCGGGGCGACACCAATGACCACGCCCTGATTGTACCGTCGAAGCGAACAATCAGGTGTGGTTGTTATACGGGACTACCTCGTGGCGTCCCGTATAACATCCGCACATCTTCCTCGTGGCGTGGCACGTTGTGCCGTGGTCTTAAGCCGTGCGCTGTAATACCACACGTACAGGGCAGCGCGGTGTTCGTCGAGTAATCAACGGCAGTGACAATCGTGTTTGATTCCGTTTGTACTGAGCGGACTTGCCGTTTTGCACGTCGTCTTCGCTGGTGGTAGTATTGCTTGCCGGTCCCTGCTGCCCTAGTAGCAAGGAACGGCAAGCAATACTACCACCATATCACCATATCATATAGTGATATATCATACAACCATCATATCATGTAGCCTGCCGTTCCCCGTGGCTTGTCCTGTTTCAGTCGAGACTTGGGCATTGGTTTTATCCGCGCGTGCACGGTGAGGTGCCGCCACAACGCGACCGATGTGGCTGGAAATCCCTGGTTATATTCTGCGCCTCAGTCCTGGATTAAGAACTCGTTTGGTCTGAAGCAAACCCGCTCGCGTACATAGCTAAGCCGCCACAGACTGTGGACGGGGAAGCTGTGACTGTCATGGGAGCGAGCTAAGCGAGGGGCAGGCGGGTCTCTCATAGACCGGGAACTGGCCGCGGCCCTGATACGGCAGAGTGCCAGGCGGTGTCGCCGCTGACTGACTGAAAGTTGCATATGTATGAGGTTGGCTGAGCACCCCTTACCTTTCTATCCCTATTACACAATGCGTGCTACTGAGCGCTGCCAGAAGCTGCCTTGCACTGGTTCCCATTTCTTGTCCTGCAGAGCCAATGTCATCAAATGAATCAACGCCACACACCACAGAATCGGACTGATGGAGCGTCTGTGAAAGGGGTCAGCCTCACGAACCCCTCCCGTAATATAAATTTTGTCATCCCAAGCAGATGCGAGTCGTCGCCTGTATGAAACAAACCGACGCGGTCACCGGGGAGGTCGGCGCCGGCCCGGAGCACGCCGCTGAGCGGATGGCGCGGTCGGTGACGTCACGGGCCGGAGCCGGCGGTGACCGCGTCCGCGGCGGCGGCGGACGCGGGTCCCGGCCCGGCGTGACGCCCGCGCGCCGCCAGTGCCGACTCGCCGGACTGGCGCGGGACGCGGCGCCGTTCACGAACTGACTTGGAAAACGCCTGCGGCTGCGGAAAGCAACGCCGACTGGGCCACTGACGGTGGCGGGAGGTGGCGCCTTTCGCGAACCGACGGGGATCACTCGCGGTTGCGGAAGGCAGCGCCGCTCACGAACTGATGTGGATGAGTGAGGGGTAAAACCGGTGAGCAGCAGTTCGTACAGTAGTTTCTATCAGCGAACTTCAGTGGATTTGGAAGGAAGTTTGTGGGCGAATGTATTCTAAGGCAGGTGATCCAATCCCGTTTCGAACAGGATCGATCCATCTGTCACCGCTTTCTGCCAGTCCTCGGACTCGGCCTTTGTCTGCAACCGCCCGCGCTGCAAAGCAGATCCGTGCTTGCTCTCGGTGGGCGGGATCTGACCTCTGTTGCGTAAGCCGTCGGAGTCACGGCAGTTTTCAGCGGATCCAAAGCTAAGTGCTCCAGGCTTTGCGCACATTTTGCGTGATGAGGGCTCACCGTGATGGCGTGGAATCTTTTCAACGGATCCGAAGCTAAGTGTTCCCGGCTTTGCGTGTATCTTGCGTGATGAAGGCTCACCATTATGGCGTGGAATCTTTCAGCGGATTTGAAGTTGTATGCCCTAGGCTTTGTGTGCACTTTGTGTGATAAAGGCTGACCATGGTGGCGTGGAATCCGTCAAAAAAATCCCGACATCGGCGCATTGATCCGGTTTGCACTTATTGGACACGTGTTATATCCCCCTCTCTATCACTGACGGCATTCCCAATTAAAACCAGATTTTGCAGCGTGTATCAGACGTCCATTCGATGTCATGCGTGATGTACGCGTCAGCGTGATATCGAACCTGTTACTGAACGCGGCAGCAGCAGCCCTCTCCCCGTTGTCGGCGGCTCCAGCTTGGCCAGCTGGCGGAGCCGCCGGCTGTGGCCTGTGACGCCCCTCTCACCGCTGCGTCCGGTCCGGCAGGCCGGCTTCGGCCTGGCGATGGCCCTCTTCGTGGACCCGGGCCTGCAGCTGGGCCTCTTCCTGACCGGCTGCAGCCCGGGCGGCGGCGCCTCCAACATCTGGACCTACCTCTTCAACGGCAACATCAACCTCTCCGTCACCATGACGTTCGTCAGCTCCCTGGCCGCCTTCGGTGAGACTGTGGGTGGTTCACCCCGGCCTGGGTTGGTAACACAGGGTACGATGTGCCCCGGGCTGTACAGAGCGCGTTGTCGGTGGCGGTCTTCGAGAGGTGCCGAGATTTGAAAGACAATTAGGTAAGTAAATGCGGTTTCTTTTGCGTGGAAGGGGCCCTAAAACCGCCAGATGTCCGCACCGAAGCCGAAGAAAACCTCACGAATGTATTTTGGAAAACAGAAGGTCGTGGGGTTGTCACATGGGGGGGGGGGGCTGTGACATAAGTGTAGCAGGCGTCTGCACGCTCGCTTCGCTGCGCTTATCTTAAATCGTAGGCAATGGTTTGGCGTAGGTTTTGCAGTCTGGTTCACGCCTGTAGATACACTAGGAGCCGACATCTGGTGCAAAACGCAAAGCCATCGAAAACGATACAATGATCTTGCCAGCTCGTGCGGGCATACCACGGCCCCCGTGCGATCACACACTTCGGACCACCCATTTGCCCGTTTGATTCCTTATCGAAGCATGCCACTCCCGACTTCGCTTTGTTCCGAAATGCCGAGATCTGACACGAAACGTGAAAAGCTGTCCAAAACTGCAAAATTCGTGTTGCCAGTTCGTGTGTTCATAACACGTGACACGTGCGACCCAGCACTGCACAGCATGCGATCGCCAGTTCAGTTATTTATCGAAGCGCGCCACTATTGGATCGTCCCGACCCGTCGCCATCGAGTAAGGCGTCCGAGAAGACGTGCCTCGCCGGCTGACCGTCGATCGGTCGCAAATGCCCTTCGCCAGTGGTGTGTCTGCGGCCGATGACGCCTTCCGAAATGTTGGGATTTCCCCTATTTTCCGACGATGTGCAACGCTGCTGTACGTCGCGCATTGTGGTGTACACTGAAATTGTGGGCGGTACATTGGCAGCAGATTTCAAACTGGATTCACACCTCTGCCTGCACTGGATGCCGCTAGTGGCACAAACGTGAGTAGACTCACGTAAATCGATCTTGCCAGCTCGTGAGCACATGGCACATGGCATGGGCGACTGCGCACTTGGCACAGTGCGATTCCCCGTCCCATTCCCTATCGAAGGTCTCCCGGGTCGCTCCGGCCCGTGGTTGTCGAGATTTCGGCCTGGGATGGCGAGCAAAGGGGCCGTGTAATGTAATCGGTCGCCACCGTGGCCCGCCCGCTGTGAAACAGCTGGTCGCCGGCGGCCTACATACGTGCCTCGTAGCGATGTTGCTTGAAAAAGCGAGTGATAATTTGTCTTGTGCGAAATAAGGCTCACGTATGCCAAATTGCTCATTTTGTGGTTGTTTACGTCCATATGTGGTAGTTACGCAGATCTCGCAGGGGACAACCGGGAGATCGGCTAGCGGATTTTCGTCGCCGGCGGGAAAGCCGTGTTGCAACTCTTTACTCGAAGTTAATTTGCGAACGACATAGAGCAAATAACGATCAGCAGAAGGCTGGTGAAGAAAGGGAACGAATCGGCGAGCACGTTGGTGTAATTTTTAGCGTTAAAATACGCACGGTTTTCACGGCAGCGTCTTTTATTGGCGTTTTTTAACACGGCATTTTCAAGTTATCAGACGGTTTGTGGCTTCATCTGCGTCGCACAAACTCGCGATACAGGGGGAATATGACCGGGTACATTTTTGGCCTGAAAACGGGACAGAAGAAATAGCGGACACGCACACATATATGCATACATACATCTGTTCCTGTAGTGATATAAAGATTACCAGGAAACGTTAGTATATCCCGGTCACAAACCCCAAAATCATCGGTTGTTGGACAGAACAATCCAAAAAATTTCCACTTGTATGGTTGAACTACTTATTAAAATCATGCTTACGTACGTCATAGTTTACTCAAAGTAGCCCCAGGCCACAGATACCTATTCACAGATTCTTAAATGTTGGTTCCCTCTGACTTCGTCATGCCATTTTTCTTCGCCTGCTAGCCAGAAACACGCGTCTTTAAACGCTCGCTTAACCGTTGCCAGCGAACTGTTGTCCAGAAGAGATCGACGTTTTCTGAATGAATTATGGCTAGTGGTTTCGTTTGTGGCAGGTGAATTTTGCACTTGATGGCCCGAACCTCATGTTTACCGGTGGTCCTAACGTTGATCGATGTGAGCTCCTTGAGCCACATACCGAGTTCTGAAGTGTGTCGTGGCGTCTGGCGCCGTTGAAAGGCCGCGAGCCCATAAAGCTATAACTGAACGGCCTCCTTAAGTACTGTGGATTTAAAGGATTTAAACGGGCATTATTCGGCTGGAAAATGAGTGCTCCCGCCAGTTGAGAATATCCCCCAGCCATTCCGACGGCCTATTGAAGAGTAAGCCGTTTAAGGCCTTCAGAAAGGCGTTGGCGCATTGTCGTGCTTAATGCGGCAGGCGCACGTGAAGGTCACAGAGGCCGAGCGCTCCCGTGCTTAACAGCTTTGCCCCCGCTCAGGCTGCCCGACGGTGCCGCGCCCCTCCCCCCCGGTCGATGATCGTGCATGCGTACATGTCTTACCACTCAGCGTCGATCGGCGCTGGACGCAGGCTCTGCCCGGTCAGGCTGTCTCGTCCCGTGCCCTGGATTGGTCCGTGCCCCCTCCCCCTTAGGCGATCCGTACGCGCTCTGTGGAGCGCCGGTCACCGCCTGAGGGCGAGAGCGGCGCTGCCACCCGGCGAGTGCGCTCACGCCCGCGGAGCGCTGGGGTCTCCTGAGGGCGAGAGCGGCACTGCCACCCGGCGAGTGCGCTCACGCCCGCCGAGGGGCGGGGTCTCTTGAGCCTGGGACGTCAGGGGAGGTTCAGAAATAGCAACAGCGCGCGGAGATGGTGGACACGCATGCTGGTGCGACACCTGATTACGGCGGACGTCATTGCCCTTTGCGAAACTGTCGGAAATGGCGCGCGTTTTCGGAGCGCCTGCGCTATTCGACAATCTTGTATACCCTTTAGGCGTCCTTTGGCGCGTAGGCTCTCCCGTGCTACTGTGATCTCGCTGACACGTCTGCTTCGGTGCATCTGTCGTGCACTGTCCTCGCGCTCTGCCGCGACGTCACAGCCACCTGGCAGGGACCCACACGACGCACCCTCACGCACACGCACTGGTGGTCGTCCCCCGCTCCGCGCAGTGCTCGCGATGATGCCTGCCTTGACCGCGTCTGACCCCGGTTGCAGCGACGGTGCCCGGCTGGGTGTACTGCCTGGGTCGCTTCATCACGGCCAACACCACCCTGGTGATCCCCTACCGGAACATCCTCACCGTGCTGCTGTCGCTGATCGTGCCCTGCGGCATTGGTCTGCTGATCAACCGCTTCCTGCCCAAGGTCAGACGAGGTCACGCCCGTCGGCGCGATAGTCGTCTGAATGGGCGCGGTGTGACGCTTTTTGCTCCGATGATAGGCATCTGAGGCGCGTGGCTGACCATCGGACATGCGGTGTCTGCGGGGCTCCGGTATTCACCGGTGTTGACGCAGTCACGTTGGCCCATTCAGTGCAGAGCGTGTTCTGTTTCCCGTTCGCTGCACCGTACACGTAAATGAACTCGGCGCGTTGGGCGCCAAATGACCACCGCGGCCCGCGCGCCCGTAAACTCCAATAAACAACAACAATTAACTCGGCGCGCGCCCGGAGTTTTAGTGTGCTGGTGAAAGCACGTGCACGCATTGGTTGGAAGCTTTTGTTAAAAAGGTGTCAAGTTGCCTGCAAATAACAACCTGTTACTCACCGCGGATCAGTAGATATGCGGCCCTCATGTGCCCGGCCTGGACCTGAGGTGATGTTGATCTTTAATGTGTGTATGATCTCTTCGGCGATCGCAGGTGTGCTGACCGGTTGTGCGCCTCTCCAGGTGGCCGATGTGTTGCGGCGCGTCCTTAAGCCGTGGTCGGTCATCCTGTTCATCTTCATCGTGGGCTTCGGCATCTACACCAACATGTACATTTGGCGCCTGCTGACCTGGCAGGTTAGGAGAACTTCGATGTCGTGATGATCAAAAGTGCAAAGCTCGACCTCTCAGCACCCGTCGACTTTTCTATTCTGACCCACGGATGCTTGTGCTTCTCAGCCGGAAAATAATGTGTGTCGTTTTGTCTCCAGCACATATTCTGTGAGACGCGGCATTGCACCCAAGGATTGTAACCAAATTCGGGACTGGTGTTGAGTATCGAGCGCAAATAGGTCGTTTGTATTGTATTTATGCTCAAGAGCAACGCACGTGACGTATCATATGGTGCAACCTTCCAGGATCATGCACCAGTCCAGCTGGACAAGGTGTGTCCCGACGTTTCACTTGCATTCCATTCGCCGCTGCAGTCTGTAATTCCCATTTTCTCTGATAGATGTCGCTATCTCGTAACCAGTTCCCGCCTCCACCGCCAGCTGTTGCTGGCGTCTGCCATTCTGCCGATGGCCGGGTTCCTGGGCGGCGCGGGCGCCTCCTGGGCCACGGGCCGCAGCTGGGAGGACGCCATCGCCATCAGCACCGAGACGGGCGTTCAGAACACGGGCGTGGCCATCTTCATGCTCAAGTTCTCGCTGCCGGAGCCGTCCAGCGACCTTTCCATTGGTGAGCTTTCGGCCGCCGGGCGCGTCCCGACAGGCATGTGCGCCGCGTCATCCCGACAGGCGTGTACGCCGCGTCATCCCGACAGGCGTGTACGCTGCGTCATCCCGACAGGCGTGTACGCCGCGTCATCCCGACAGGCCCGTACGCCGCGTCATCCCGACAGGCGTGTACGCCGCGTCATCCCGACAGGCGTGTACGCCGCGTCATCCCGACAGGCGTGTACGCCGCGTCATCCCGACAGGCGTGTACGCCGCGCCACCCCGACAGGCGTGTACGCCGCGTCATCCCGACAGGCGTGTACGCCGCGTCATCCCGACAGGCGTGTACGCCGCGTCATCCCGACAGGCCCGTACGCCGCGTCATCCCGACAGGCGTGTACGCCGCGCCACCCCGACAGGCGTGTACGCCGCGTCATCCCGACAGGCGTGTATGCCGCGTCATCCCGACAGGCGTGTACGCCGCGTCATCCCGACAGGCGTGTACGCCGCGTCATCCCGACAGGCGTGTACGCCGCGTGAGAGTACACGACACGCAGTCTCTCGCCGTGACATTCGATGACTTGACGCGTCTTGGGAGCTGTCGTGCCTGACGGAGGCGTTCATTCGGAGCCGGAGAGCGTTTAAGATGCTCGGACGTTAGAACCGGGCCGCTAATACATCGATTCGATTATTTATGTGCTTATCGGAGACGGTATACTGATCCGGCTAGCGTGTACCGTTACTGAAAGATGGCCATGTCCTGTACCATGACCGTGATGTGCGTGCGTGCGCACCGCCCGGTGTACTGACCCGTCGGCCGCCGCCTCCGCCGCGCCCAGTGACGTCACCTCCCCCTCCCTCCAGTGGTGCCGATCGTCGTGGCGACGATGACGCCAGTGCCGTTGTTCGCGGCGCTCATCTTCCGCCGGCTGCGCGCCTGCTTCTGGCCGCGGCCGCTGCCGGAGAAGCAGCCGGCCGGGCCCGGTGCCGTCGCCCTGGGCGACAGCGAGAGTGCCCGCCAGCTGATGAACGGCGAGGAGGGCTCGTTGGCCGCCTGACCGGCCCGCCTGCAGCGCTGCGGGCCGCGCCACAGCTAGCGAGGTCACGTGCTGGTGACTCGGTGGGAGCCGTGTTCGGGCTGGGGCGCATGTGCGCGGATGTAGTGATCGGACGAAAGAACGCAGAGAGCTATATTGGGCCATGTGTGTCGTCTGTGGGTGTTTCGGCGGAGTTTGGGCGGTGGGGTGGCTGGTGGCCGTGTTTGCCGCCGCCGCCGCCCGCCGACCGTGCGCAAGAGGGTCTGCCCTGCCTGCGAGCGATCCACGCCACCGAGGCCGCGCGTGGCTGTAATCCCCCCCCCCCCCCAATTCCGATAGTGTTAGCTACCCCCGTGGTCGGCGGCGGTGGGGCAGCGTCAGGCGGTGATTGGAGCCAGGCATGTGCCGTGGGCGGTGCCGCCGGCGCCCGATCATCGGGGTCGTAGGTCGCCGCGCCGTGGGTGGGGCTCGAGATCACACCGACCGGGGAGGGGCGTTCGAGCAGCCCCGTCCGATCGTGTTTCGTGCCGCCGTCCTCAGGTGGCGCCACCGTCGGTCCCGCACCCCACCGCATCGTCGATCCAGGCGTCCGGAAATAAAGGTTGCAATAGGGAACAAGTACCCACCTGTTATAGGTTAAAGACTCTATGTTCGGTTACGTGTCGGAAGCATCGTGCATGAAGCATCTTCACGAACTAAAATACAGATGTTGAGATACTTTTAGTGCGTTTGAGGCGCAATGTGGACGTACGGACGTTTTCGTTTACGATCAAATCGCAAGTTTTCATGGCATACCCACGCCAAGTTCCGCAATAAGTTGCATAAACCTTCGGAGTCCTAGAGCCGGGACAGCTTGCCGTACCACAGCCATTAGTAACCCACCCGCGATCTTCTACACGCCACATCCTGCCAGCTGAGTCGGACAGGGAGCTCCGACGCGGGTGGGCCGACCCGCTCACCCGCCGACCTGGCCAGAGGCTGGCGGCTGATGACGGCTGTTGCAAGTCACCTGAGGCTGCAACTCGTGGCGTCCAGCCCCTCCACCGTCGCTGAGACGGACCGACGTTCCTCGTTCCTCATTCCTGGCCTGACCACCGCTCGCGAAACCATCGTCGCTAGAACTCGCGATGGGTGCAAAATGAACATGACAGCCGGCGCGCCCCAAAAGGCCGGAAGAGCCGAGGCTCGCGAACACGCGAGGGGTCAGCGTTAGCCAGGCTCCTCTACTCCTCCCCCCATCAAGACGGCATTACCACCCCGAGACCCACCATCACTCCCAAAGACGGCCATCCTCTCACCGACTCACGCGTACCAGCGCTACTCCCGCGACTTCTTATCGTTTCTGGTCAGCATACCTCGGAACGCGCCATCACCGCAGAGCCGCCGCTTCTCCCCAGTTCCGCACAAACTCCTGAGATCTGTCATCCCTCCAGACACCGGCCGCTCGTGCCGAGACCGGCCATCTCTTAATGACGCACCTCCACTACGTAGGCCCGCCACACTAGCGGAGCGCCCACACGCCGCCACCGCATAACACGTTTATTACACGCAGGCTGTAAGTACACTTAAAATGGGCTGCCCGGTCCTGGCTTCCGGCGGCGGCGGCGACCGACGCAGCCCGGCCGCCGTATCACCAGTGTTAGTAGCGGCCCCCCTGCAGCCTCCACCCCGGGCGCCGACCCTCCACGCCGAGAGTCGCACGGCTGAAGGCCGACAGACCGCAGTGGGCGCCGCGGCGGCAGCGGCGGACGCGGCGGACGCGGCGGGCGCGCTGCCCGCACGCGAGTGGGTCGCCGTCAACGGAGCAGGACGCAACGCAAACCCGCCGAACGCCATGCAAAGGCACATTGTAAGAAAAGGGCGGACGAAGCGCAAAACGACGAGCCGATTTTGCCTCCCTGGCCGAAATGGATCGCAAGCGAGCTCTTTAGAGCGTGAACCGGTGCTCCAGACGTGTTATCCATGTAAGACGGGCGTTTCAGCCGCGACGGGTCTACCGAAACAAGCTACGTGCTATGCCCAGCGCGCAACGCCACATCACTGGAGGCTGCCACGGCGTTGCCGCTGCCTCTCGCGGACACCGGGAGCGAGAGGCGTCGGACGCCACGTGCGCCGGCCACCTCCCGCCTGAGAGGAGGGCACCACCTCGCGAGTCCCACGCCTCGCCGATCGGGGCGCCCCTGGCGGCGGCGGCGCGCACTGGCCGGCCGCCCGGCAGTGTCCAGTTCCGGCCCGCGGCGCGCGCTCAGACGTTGTGGATGGCCAGCCTGAAGACGTCGTGCTGGCAGAAGAAGCCCTGACCGTTCGGCACCGGCTTCAGCACGAACGTCTGCGAGAAGCCGTGCACCGGATCGTCGTCCGTCTGCCGAGGCGGAGGGCGGAGCGTTACCAGGGGCGTGGCACAAGCGGGCTGGCCACGGAGGCTGGGCCCTGTCGCCAACCAATGGTGGTGCGCTGGGCCCTGTCGCCAACCAATGGTGGTGCGCTGGGCCCTGTCGCCAACCAATGGTGGTGCGCTGGGCCCTGTCGCCAACCAATGGTGGTGCGCTGGGCCCTGTCGCCAACCAATGGTGGTGCGCTGGGCCCTGTCGCCAACCAATGGTGGTGCGCTGGGCCCTGTCGCCAACCAATGGTGGTGCGCTGGGCCCTGTCGTCAACCAATGGTGGTGTGCTGGGCCCTGTCGTCAACCAATGGTGGTGCGCTGGCCGGCAGACGAGAGCCGCCTGCTGGCAGCCGCCGAGCACAACACTTTACGACCTCGTGGAGCATCAGCCTGTGCATAAGACCACTGACAGTGAGTGTAAGCATCAAATGTGCGACAATATCGCGTGAGCCACGCCGACAGGGCAGGGCGGGGGAGGCCTAGCCGGCCCACTTCAGGCGGTGATGCCTTGGTGTGAGACTAACCTTGAGCTGTCCAACAACGTTGATGAGGATGCCGCCGTCGAACATGGGTTGGCAATCCACTGTAGTGACGATGTGCTGGATCTTCGCAAACGTCAGCGCCTGCAGAGCAAGCGCGTTTTATACCGGGACGGGTAAGAGCAAAATAAACATCAGCAGCTAGCTCATAGATGTGTCCCAAAATATTTTAACCTTGAACAGACACCACAGAAAATACACAGGATATAAAAATTACATTACCTTAAAGTTAAAACGTAGGCACGTTTGCAGACCGGTCAAAACACAATTGCAAACAAAACTAAGCAGTCCATGTCTGATTTTAAAGCAATAAGGAGGAACAAAATGATGACATGAACTGAAAATTGCACACAAAAGACGGCGCGGCTAAATAAATGCGTGAACGGAATGGCAAGGACACACTGCATACTCCCAAGCTGTTTCATCTCAATGGACACGCCGTTCTGTTCAATGTTTCGTAATGCTGATGTCATGATTCATGGGTGGCTGTTAAGATATCATCAGCTGGGAATCACAGCGGCCAGACCAGGCCGGGCAGGTTCATGAGTGTCGAACTTTGCCTGCGGTCTCGCTAATGTCACAGATGCAGGCGGGGAAAAGCACACATCACCTCACCTACACAACTTCATTCAACAGGCTGTGTTTTGCTATTCTATCAAACGACAGATGATTGTCCAATTTAATGAGACGACTGGAAAGTATTTGAATTTAATAACTTTGATGTTCACAAGACGAGATGGGAAATATGTCCCACATGAAATATGTAAGCCCCTTGATGTGCACCCTCTTTCCGCGTTTACCGCGCTGCTTAGTGTTCCGGTCAGTCAGTCAGTCATTGGGGCTTTACGACGCATTCAGCTGCTGAGGCCATATGGCGTCGCCTGCATCTCACCCTGGCAGGAAGGGCGGGCACCGCGGGGAATCGAACCCCGTACCTCTGGTTTCCCAGACGTGCAGTGACTAACGCAGGCGCGTTAACCACTGCACTACCGGCACCCCTTAAGTGTCCCGATTCTGACAATTGCATTTGACATAAGATTCTGGCTTACGTCGTTTCTTTGCCAGGCATTCAAAATTTTGGCCTGCATAGGCTTCCTGTGATAATGAAGCTACGAACCATTACAAAGAAAGGGTAGCTACAAGCAGGACCTATGACAGGAAGTGTCATACTTACAGCAAACTTTTCCATGATTTTTTGTGCTCCTCGATGTTGGGAGCCCTCAAAGCTCATCAGGCTCATCTCCGGCTGAAAAACCAACAAGCAATGTAGACACCGCGAAATGTACAAACCACTGCAAATCAGTAAGCAATATGGACACACTTCAAGTGACAAAAAACCTCAATAGTAAACTGCAAATAATATGGACATACTTCACATTACACCGAAAACTGAAGAGCCACATGAATGAAAACACTGCTTACAACTGAGGAGTGCTTTGAAGTGAACATCTTTCTTGACATTGACAAATCTGACGAAATGTCCCAGTCTGTTCCTCAGATAGCAGGGACAATGCTGCACAGAAGGATATTGAATTCTGAAGTATTCTTTTGGCAGAGGCTCAGCATGTATATAAATCAAAGTCATTTTATAATGAGGTCTCAAAAAACACAAACATGTAAACTAAAAAACACAAACACAAACACAAAAATGTTATGAAAAACATGATCAGAAAAGGAAACTAAAATACTCCAGGCTCTCGAGTTTGTTGCGAACATTCCCGCAGAAAATGCTGCCAGCACGATATATCTACCTCAGATGACATTGTGGTAACTTGTCACAAAATATGGAATCGATCAAAATTTTCAAAACTTTTGAGCTATACCGACCATCAACAAATCATATGAAAACGCATGACACAATGAAAAGAGGCGGGGGGGGGGGGAGTAATTCATTTTTCTCTCGATCCAAACGTCGCACAGTGCTCTCAACCTTGCAACGTTTTTTGGAGCACTTTTGACTACGGCGGTCATATATACCCCCAGAACACAGCATCAGTTGGAACTAAAACACAAGCATCCCACATGGAAGCAAAGCACTCAGTCTGACCTCGGAGTACGGGGACGGGGGACAAAGCTCTCGGATGGTGTTATCAGACCTTCTGGATTTATTGGGGCCTGCGGCAATGAATGTCCTATCTAGGTCAAAGACCACCCATCACGAACGGTCAGCCCTGTGCCAGTCAGGGGCACATTGCCAAAGCCGGGGCAATACCGGACCGACAAGTATCAGAGGCCTCTTGCGTTGGACGGGGCCACCCGAGGCATTGGGATTGGGGGCCTGGTCAAACAGGGCCCTCAATGCCTAATAGACAATCATGTGACTCTGTGGCCTGTAACTGTCCTGTGACTGGATTTAGCAACAAACAGGGCCACGCCGCATTCCAGTCATGGGCCCCACAAGACAAATCGGGATCCCTGTGCCAATTATGGTTATGGGACCTCCTGTGACAGTAGAGGACCCTTTTGCGTCAGTGAGGGCCTCTGCATGGATCCGGGACCCACTGCTTCGGCGAGAGGGCCTCCTGCGCCAGGGAGGGGACCATTGTGTGATATATCCCACTAAGGACATCCCGATCGTTCAGGGGTACCGGCTCCCGAATCGCCAGAATGGTAGCTAGCAACTTACCTGGGCTGGGATGGAAAACCTTTCAGCCCTGCAGGAAAAATGATGGGTCCCTAGTGCTCTGGCCATGTGACCCCTGCCTGGGAGAGGTAGGTGGTCTAGCCTGGTAAGTGGCCCTGCCTGGGAAAGGTAAGTGGTCTCCCTGGTGCTCACACTATGGGGTCCCTCATGGAATGCGTCTCCCGACATGACTGAAAAATGAAGAAAGCTGTGCCCTCGAAGAAAAAAGGCTGAGTTTAACTAAAAGTCAGACCTTACAGTGAAAGATTAAAACTGGAGTTTGAGGAGTCTTCTATTATCAGGGACAACCATTTACTTTTGTGCACCCCCCCCCCCCCCCCCTCCTCTCGCTACCAAGATTCTGGCTGTGCTCTTGTTTTGACACATGTTCTTACCATGGGCGTAGTTACGCAACAAGACTGGGAAGGCGGGGGGGGGGGGAGGAGTAAGCAGCGAAAAATTACGAAATCTTCCACTAAGATGTGCCCATAAACCTGTCTGTTCCGGATTTCACCATTCTACTTCTCAAAGTTGAGGACTGGAGCCCAAGTTGGGGGGAAGGGGAGGGGATGCAGGGGGTTAGAGTCCCTTCCACTGTCACGATTTCTTCACCTTCAGCTGTCTAGAGCCCCTCCAACTTTAAGTCTGCCCCACTCACTGAAGTGGTTAGAGTGGCTGCCTTCTGATTCACCCAGCCATAGCAGGGTGAGTTCAACTCACTTTAGGCATTCGCTCTTTGTCCTTGCCAGACATGACCTGTGGCTAGTATCAGTGGCAGCGCTTAAGGTCAGATGACGTCAGAGGACGGAACGGATCGTGCCGAGCATTGCGGCATGTAAAGCTCTTGTCACCAAATTCTGCTATTGACCTGGAATTGTGTGATTGGATGGTAGGGGTTAGGGCTCATACAAGTAGTGCTTAGCATGAGTTCTGATCCTAGAAGTATGTCACCTTAAAAAGTTTGGATTAAAGTTGCAAACAATAAACTGAATAGGAAACCTCAACCCTGGTTACTCAGCAAGAAAGTTCTTTAACACAAGTTTCAGCTACATTCTCCATAACACATCACATCTTGAATTCAGATGACCATGCCCTTTAACTTCTTTCAAACAATTACAAAAGGTCAAACCAAATGTGGAGTACCAGCAACCACAGTACCATACTTAACATCACGGATATACACATGTAGGGCCCCCTGGCCACGTATTCCGCTGTCATCAAATTTTGTGTGTTTATGTAAGCACAACTAAGCGTTAGCACTCAAACCATTGCGGAAGACATGTGAAAAAAGGAGATGAAGAATGCTCGCTGACGATATATACCCAACAAAGAATTCTGCACATCAGCCACAAAGTTAACCTGTTTTTTGTGAAAAATTATGGGGGGTGTCCCCACCCCACAACAAAATCTTGTGTATGCTATTGATTAACACTTATGGTCATGGCACAAATGGGGAATCGAGCGCAGGTCCCCCATATGCAAGCTGGTTTAAACCACCCAGCCATTAGGTGGCACAACAGCCCCTCATGGCCTACACCCAGTACCATCCCTGTCAATTTTTAAGTTCTGGCTTTTATACTTTTAAGGAGAATAGAAAGATCAATTTTGTTCTTCCTTTAGAGCAATGGATTTTCAGAAACCTTCTGGCACTCTGGTTATAATTGGTAGGTGCTTGTCCCTATTATTCAGTTGGATTGTTAAACACATTTAAAAAGTGTCAAGACAGCAGGTCTAACTTCAGTAGCACTAAAGAACAGACAACTCCAGGTAGACATTTACCTTGGCAAATTAAAGATTGCCAAGAAAATTGTTTGTTTATATATGCTGCTGTGTTCTACAATACTTCCATGCATTGATGTTAAATGTGTGGCAGCCAGGCAACCAAAATCAAACCTAATAATAGTGCTGATTGGCATTTAAGGTATTTGCTCCTGATCATTAAACAATGTGTTCCATAATGCAAAAAGGCACATCCTGGCAACCTGTGAGGTAAGTTGGTGATCTTCATAGAAATAAAACCTTGACACCTTGTATTCTATGTATATGGTCCAGACGAGTCATAAATCATAGCTAAAAATTATTATAATTAGAATCAGGCAGTTACTGGAAGCACAAAATTTTACTCATATCCCCCTTGCCCTGAATACTCAGATCATTTTTCACATCCATTGCTGAGAAAATTAATTAGTCCACAAATTGAGACATTTTGCAATAAAATCAGGTAACACCTCTAAATAACAGATCTCCCTGCTTGGAAGTCACTATGTTATACAAGTAAGATTACCTGGGTGTTACAAAGCATTTTATACACTTTCTCTTGGAATGTGGTAAATGGATTAACAGAGTGTTGAGTGTGACTCATGAGAAACATATCATATATTCCAGAAAAATTATGTGATGAACAAGATGAGCATATCAGGTAACAGGACATAACATTATGCAATGCAGGAATGTTCCTAAGAGTATTGCTGCCATTTGGATTTTGAGAGCCCAGAGTCTGACACACAAGCACCATCAATTTCAACATACAATGTTATTATTCCAAGAAAATATGATGTTCAGTTGATTTCACATGAAAACAGAGCAAAGCATATTTCAGCAAACATACTTTGATAATTCACTGCAACCTGGCCTGGCCTAGGCTCCTGAAAGTGTGCTCCAGGCTCAGTCAAAGAAGTCACAAGGGTGTCCAGTGCAGTGGATGGATTTTATCAAACAGATCTAAGAATAAGCACACACAACCTGATCATTTATCTTGAAAATGAAGCATTCCAAGCATGGTAACAATTGCCATAGCTGACCAGCTGAATTTCCCCAATCATAAATTAAGGTAAAGCAGGAGACAATACCAAGTCATGATAACTTACACTGTACAAGTTGATCAGTTGCGCTCTGCATGCTGGGTCATCAAAGAGCGTGTAATACTGTTTGGCGAACTGTTCACCGATGGCTAGGTACTGGGGGTTCAAAGCCATGTCCTTGGTCTGATGGTAACCAATCCACACAAACTGTTAAGATATTCTCTTGCAGGCAGCCACGTGGATATCGTAGCACACGCCCGGCAGGATCAAACGCGCCTTCGTGGGGATTAAACGCGGCTCCAGAAAAGTTCCCGTCGCCCTCCTCGCCTCCCGCGCTTTATGTTTTAGGCAAAAGGATAGTGAATTTGATATACCACGAGTGAAGCATGTGCGCCACCTTGGCGCTTCTTCGAATAAAGGGTAAGGTCAGGCAATTTGTATTTGTTCTTGGTAGAGTGAAATAGTGGCTAGCGCATTTAAACACTTCGCTGTTTTTCCTTCTTAGGTTCGCACAAAACGTAGTTGGACTTGATGACAAGCATCCATCTCCTAAATACAATGAAGATTAAGGCTATATGTACGTTAAACTATCGAAAAACTAGTTTTTATTTTCGAAGTCTTCATGGCGTTCGCAGAAGTGCCATTTCGTGGCCTTGCACCTCAAGGCATTGTACCACTGGGGATAAGCTCTCGTGCGTTGTATTGCGCTGTGTTGCATTGTGACGGTCGGTACAGTGGGCATTGGGCGCGGAAAAGGCCTTAGAATTAGAAAAAGAAGTACGTAAGGTTGTGTCGTTTGCCGAGGGCGGTATGTTACGACATCTGTTCGTAGTCTGATCGCAGCGAACGCTCCGGGCTCGGGGTTCGGGTCTGGGGCTGCTCGACCTTTCGGGAACTGCCGGCTGGTATGGTTGATTCCATCCCCAGGGCGTCCGCAGCTCATTGCAAGGTCGTGTAAGAACGAGAAGGTCACGTTTGTCAATAAAAATTTGCTACATGAAAAGTAGACCCGTACCACCTATGCAAGATTTCAGCCAGGGATGCAAGTTTTTGAAAAGTATTCCAGGAGAATGCGGCTGTTACAGAATGCTGCCTGAGAGAGCAACCTTGTCATCGGGCCAAAATCAGTGAAGTGTCCTGATTTTCTAAATGCAGTTGGATTTTACTTTCTTGCATTTCAAGGAGGGTTCCTAAGCAAACTTGTCTTAGTGAAAGTGAGTTAGATTTGCTCCAAAATTCAAAAATGTGTCTTGCCCAGCTTGGTGATTTTTGGTTTGAGGCATGACTTGGATGACCCTCTCCCCATCCCCCTTGGATATCATAAAAGACATTGGATATGGGCTGATCTGTGATACTCAGAATTGTGTTGAGCTGCTGAGTCAAGAGCTTAGATCAACCCATGCATTGTGAATGCAAAATAAAATGTTCATGTACCGAGGTATTGTGGCTGATTTAAAGGCTTGTTGTGGAAAAATATTTGTAGAAAAAGATGAGAGCAAGCAGATATTATTGGACAAACAGCATGACTGCAATTGTTTGAACAATCAGTTATCCTCCAGTTTGGCCAGTGGTTTAGCTGAAATCAATTGAATGTGAATAGATAAGACAGAACTGTAAGCTGTACTCCTGGTAAAACAACTGGGAGAAGGAGAAAGAGATAGACATAGCTGTAAAGGTTATTTTATTTTTACATGCTTCTCAATATTCACATTATTGTTCTACCAAGACATTCTGATTGTATGAAAAGTGAGCTATGAAAACCTGAAGCCCAAAATGATGATATCTTAATATTTCTCTATGGGGAGAAGGGATGGTTAAAAGTCAGAAACCATGGCTGAAAGAAATCTTGGACAGGGTTGTCAGTTTTTAAAATCATATTTTTTTCTGACAAGAGCCCTTGACTAGGCCAACCCCAGCAAAATCACAATCATATTATTGTGAAAATGGCTTAAATGGTATGGAGCATACATGCAATGTTTTGAAGTGTTACCTATTTACATAATTGTCAGAGCATTGCCAGAGATTTATTGTTTTGATAGCATGGCTAAATGTCAGTTCAGCTGTCCTACAAACTGAGGCTTATTGCACTCAGAGTGAATTCAATTCTGGTTTGAAAGAAGAGTAAGCTTTATTTTTGTATGCCATATATGCACATAGAAACATTTAGAGTGTCTGATTCATCTTCAGTTGTTGACCTCATGATGGACATGTAAATCCCCAGGGGATTGTTCATGTTATCTGTGCCATCTTCACCCATATTAATTCCAATCCATATCAACCATTGCCAGATTTAGCATGCTTCACATCTGATCTTGTCACACTATCTGTAACATCAACCAAATGACATTGGTACCTTGGTCTTCTGCCTTGTCTCCTGTTTCTGTCCTGTATCTGCCACCAGCTTTTTTCTGCACTTGCATCACACCTTCTGCTGATACAGCCAACAATGAAATATGCACCACGGTCCCGAAAGAGCTGCTGTCTGCATACATGCACACATTGCCTGTACCACTTCCCATCTGACACTAGCCCTGACAAAGCCTGCTTGTGCCCAGTAGACACTCAGCATGCCTGCGGACCTGCCAGCATACTGCTTCGCGGCCATCGTGGCGGCCGGCGGAGTCATGGGCTACGCCAGGGCTGGTGAGTCACGAGGCTCAGAATACTGACGGGCTGTGGAGGGACTCTCCCACCATGCGTCACGTGCTGCCACCTGTCTGTGCGTCCACCAGTCATTGATGTGCACCTGACCAATCCATGCAGCGTCTCTGTGACACTCTAACCTGACTTAACCAGACCTGTAGACAGCGGCCCGTGTTTGTGGGATCAGGCCGGGACTTAACCAGACCTGTAGGCTGCGGCCCGCGTCTGTGGGATCACGCCGGGACTTAACCAGACCTGTAGACTGCGGCCCGCGTCTGTGGGATCACGCCGGGACTTAACCAGACCTGTAGACTGCGGCCCGTGTTTGTGGGATCACGCCGGGACTTAACCAGACCTGTAGACTGCGGCCCGTGTCTGTGGGATCAGGCCGGGCGCCCGGAGCCTCGCTGTGGGCACGGCGGTTCGGATCGAGGCTCGTGCCAGGGCTTTGCTGCCGTTGAGAGGCTCCTCAGCCTCGCTGGGTCGGGTCGGCACTGGAGCGGCAATCTCTGCCGCGTGGCGCCGCAGTGCGTGATTACGACCGGCGGCCGGGCTGCAGCGCGTACAGCGCACTGCGTGATCCCGACTCGAGAGATCACCTGCGTGGGATCATCTCATGGCCACTGCTGTTTCCAAGTCCTTACCAACTGGGACTTGTCTGCTGATTGGGGGCCGTCATTGCGCACCGGTCAGAGTGCGCGAGTTGTATTGTAAGGGGGTTATGTTTGTGCGCTGCTGTTCTAGAACTTGGGGGGCCTGTGTGAGACAATCAAGTCCCCGTTACTTATGTGCGGCCGGAGGGTGCATGCGGACAGTTTGTCCTCCATGCTGGGCTCAGTTTGTTGTATGCTGTTATGCTCTTGTTCTCGTGGTATTTGACCGTCCCTTTTGTCTCGAAATTATCAGCTTCACGTGCTGTGCACAATCCTTCAAAACTTGTACATCCTGTAATTATTGGCATTGCATGTACTCGCCATTCGGATGCACAGTAGTGTTCCGGCGGCCCACGGAAACTCTGACATGTACTTTGTTGTTGTGTATGAGCCTCCGTCTGGCCCACGTATCCTGTTTGTCCGGAGTCGCGGCGGCCGCTTCCGCCGAACTCATCAGAGACCTTTCATCCCTCCACCTCTCACCCGCAGCGCAGACATGTCGCGGGCCGCTGGCGGCGGGCGCGTTTTTCACGTCGTCCGCCGCCGCCGGGGCATTGGGTCACAGGCGGCGGGAGGTCGGCACCCGGCCGCCGGTGCCCCCCTGAGGGCCCGTCGGCAATCCGGCTGCTATTGACACCCGGTATTGGCGGGGCTTCCTGCGACGGGCCGTGCCGGGGCCGCCGGCATCGGCAGCTGTCGGGGAAGGGTAGTCGTGTGACGGACCCGGCGGGATGATCCGCTCGGAGTGGCCCCCCCCCCCCCCCCCACACACACAACCTACTGGCCGCTCAGTCTGACCGCGGGTGTGCCGTGGTGTGCGGCACTGAGATCTGCGACGGGCATGTGGCGCTGTGAAATACGCCGTGTCTCGGAGGTGCCGTCACCTTCTTAGCGTGTTCGGCATTGTATGTTGATGTTTTGAAGTCACTGTAAAGCTAGAGGCCCGTTTTTCCGCGTCAGATGTATTTGTAAGACTTCTTACGCTGAATATGTCTCGAAGCCTGCGTACGGCACGTGCGTTTGCCTCGCGCCGGGGTCATTCAATGGCCAACAGGATTCTATGGCCTACCAATCCCCTTCATTGTGCCGGCTGTCTGTCTAGGCTCCCCTGCTAGTGCACGGCCTTCGGCGTTCCCGATGTTCCATGCGAAGACGGGGTTCGGTTCATCAAAGTGCTGCTGGCCCCGATGTTCCACTTCGGCGGGGTTTGGTGCGGCAAAGTGGTGCCGTTTAAACTGCTGGCGGTGTGGAGTAATGCTTCGTTAATTTAGTTGCCTCACTTGGTTTAAGGGGTCTTGACCTGGACAATGGTGGTGTTTAAGCGTTCAGATAAACAACTTTGTTGAATCGATGTGCCCTAGTCCGCCTCACTATTCGGCTGTTCATTCTGCTGGCTCTATCGATTGTATGAGACTCGGACGGTGTTGCTATTCGTTAGCGGCCAGTCTTATACCAGTCTTTCATGACAGGCGCTGCGTTCTTTAGAGCTTTATTCAGATTAATGTGGCGCTTTAGCGTGTTGGGGATGTGTCAAAGCCTGTCACTCTGGAGCGATTAATGGAGCGTGTTCCTGCATTGTTAATTTTCAGATCGGGTGGGGTGTCGCAGCACGTGATTAATGCACGCAAAGAAAGTAGCCAACTAGAATACGAATGTGTCGATTTGACAGCGATTAACACTTGGTTTCGGAACACCGGCCGTGTTCCAGCCCTCTGTCCCCTCCCCCTGGACCAGGCGGTGTCATGTGCTTGATCTACACGTCGTTCGCTCAGTCCCAGGTGGCACAACATGTGTGGTTAGCAGTCTTACTTCTCAGCCTCACTAAAGCGGTCATGTCTTCCCCTCCCCCAGGCAGCCTGATGTCACTGGAGCCCTGGCTGAGGTTCGACTCCTGACCTGCTCCCCCCCCCCCGGCCCCAGACAGTCTGATGTCACTGGAGGGCGGGCCCGGGCTCGGCTCCTGACAGGCCCCTCCCCTCCCCCAGGCAGTCTGATGTCATTGGAGGGCGGGCTCGGGTTCGGCTACTGAACTGCCCCCCCCCTCCCCCAGGCAGTCTGGTATCACTGGGGGCCGGGCTCGGGTTCGGCTGCTGGCGTGTCCCTCCCCTCCCCAGGCAGTCTGATGTCGCTAGTGGCCGGGCTCGGGTCCGGCTGCTGACCTGTCCCTCCCATCCCCAGGCAGTCTGATGTCGCTGGTGGCCGGGCTCGGGTTCGGCTGCTGACCTGTCCCTCCCATCCCCAGGCAGTCTGATGTCGCTGGTGGCCGGGCTCGGGTCCGGCTGCTGACCTGTCCCTCCCATCCCCAGGCAGTCTGATGTCGCTGGTGGCCGGGCTCGGGTTCGGCTGCTGACCCGTCCCTCCCATCCCCAGGCAGTCTGATGTCGCTGGTGGCCGGGCTCGGGTTCGACTGCTGACCTGTCCCTCCCCGCCCTCAGGCAGTCTGATGTCGCTGGTGGCCGGGCTCGGGTTCGGCGCGGCGCTCGGTGTCGGCGCGCAGCAGGTGTCTGACGACCCGTCCAACCTCCACCTCTCGCTGGCGGTCAGCGCCATCCTGCTCGCAGTCATGGGCGCCCGCTTCCGCAGGAGCGGCAAGATGATGCCGGCCGGGCTGGTGACGGCCATCAGGTGCGATGCCCCGCTGCTGGACAGCGCCGTGTGCCCGCCACGCCTTTGCCGTTGTGTGGGGAGCTGGTGGCGGTGGTGCTGGATATATCGTGTAATTGATAGCTGTTCGCGAAACATTATTCCCTGTTTAGTTGCGATCGTTGTTAATGTGTCACTGACGCGGGGTGCTGTGTCACTGCCACCTGCCGCGTCCGACTTGAAAGGCTGCCACACTAAGCGGTTGAGCGGTTCAATTTCATGCGCCGTAAGCTCGCCAAACAAATGACCGCCATTATCAAAATCCCGCTGTGCTTCTGCTTCAAGCGCGTCAAAGCTCGAAATGGCGCGCGTGTGCGGAGGAGGTTTATCTTGCTGTCGCAAACGCTGCACCGGGAGATGGGCGGGGCAGGTTCCCGTGCCACTTCAATGCGGCGGATTTGCAGAATTTATCGCCGGCAGGTAGTTGGGCCGTGACCGCTTCACCCGGCTCGGAAAGTCGGCGCACTTCACGCAGTGCCGACTAAATTATGGCTGGGAAGTTCGCCATCTGCGGGGGACGAGCGTGGGCGGCGCCCAGCGCGAGGCCGGCGGCGGCTCTGCTCCAACTGGCGCCCGTCCGGTGACTCGTGTCCCGTCTGTCTGACCTCCGTCCCGCTGTCCTGTGTCCGGCGACTCGCCTCCCGTCTGTCTGACCCCGTCCTGCTGCCCTGTGTCCGGTGACTCGTCTCCCGTCTGTCTGACCCCCGTCCTGCTGCCCGGTGTCTGGTAACTCGTCTCCCGTCTGTCTGACCTCCGTCCTGCTGTCCTGTGTCCGGTGACTCGTCTCCCGTCTGTCTGACCCCGTCCTGCTGTCCTGTGGCCGGTGACCCGTCTCCCGTCTGTCTGACCCCCGTCCTGCTGCCCTGTGTCTGGTGACTCGTCTCCCGTCTGTCTGACCCCCGTCCTGCTGCCCTGTGTCTGGTGACTCGTCTCCCGCCGGTCCTACCTCCGTCCTGCTGTCCTGTGTCCGATGACTCGTCTCCCGCCGGTTCTACCTCCGTCCTGCTGTCCTGTGTCCGGTGACCCGTCTCCCGTCTGTCTTATCCCCCGTCCCGCTGTCCTGTGTCTGGTGACTCGTCTCCCGTCTGTCTTACCCCCCGTCCTGCTGTCCTGTGTCTGGTGACTCGTCTCCTGTCTGTCTGACCCCGTCCTGCTGTCCTGTGTCCGGTGACTCATCTCCCGTCCGTCTTTCCCCCCATCCTGCTGTCCTGTGTCCTGTGACTCGTCTCGCGCCGGTCCTGCCGCCGTCCTGCTGTCCTGTGTCCGGTGACCCGTCTCCCGCCGTCCTGCCGTCCTGCTGTCCTGTGTCCGGTGACCCGTCTCCCGCCGTCCTGCCGTCCTGTGTTCTGTGTCCGCGCCGGTGTGACGGCTTTCAGCTTCGACAGTGTTAGTGCTAACGCTTGCATCAAGCACGGGTAATAGCCCACCGGCCGTTCGCGCGAGGCGCGCTGACACATTCTTCGATGTATCGCTACATGTGACCGGAAAGGCATCGCAGGTTGCGCCATTGCTCTTCAAACTTAAAGCTATTTCTTTCTCAGTGCTGTCATTTGCTTTTGATGTCCGATCGTGCGCCGTAGCCACCGCCGTCATTGTTATCTTGCCTATCCAACGGTTTTACCCGCCGCTCCTTTGTCTTGCATCTTTTGCTTTCCCAGCTCGTGTTGCCGCGGGATTTGCATCATTATCGATTCAGCCCTTCTGTCTTTCTTCAGTTTCCTGTCATCCGGGTTCTCCGCCCCTCCCCTTCCCCCCTACATGCCCACCCTCTGGTGCTTGTCAGTTTTGTCTTCCTTTCCTCTCGCAAGGATGCCCCGCATTATTCTGGACGGCTGACTCCTCATCGCGGGGTGTGTCTCCATCTGTCTCCCGTCGCGTCCCGCTTTTCCTCCACATGTCCGTGGTCACCGTCTACCGCGCTGTGCCCCCCCCCCCCCCCCTCCCGTAGTGCCTTATTGTCCCGTCTCACTGCCGCTGTCTCGCTGTCCCAGCTGTCCGTTTGTGCGTCCCCGCCCCCATCTCGGCACTGTGATTTCTCCTCCATCTCCCTTCGCCTGCTTGCTTCGCTGCTGTCTGCCCAGTTCCGGGAGGTGTCTGGTCCGTCGGCCCGCTGTCCGGCTGTCCGGCCGGTCGGTCCCCCTGTCCGGCTGTCCGGCCGGTCGGTCCGCTGTCCGGCCGTCGCCAGCAGCCGGTCTCTATCGCTGGGCGCGCGGCGCCGCCGTTTTATTAAAAGAGAAAGGGCCATCTTTATTGGCGCCCGGGGGCAGTGCGATTTGTCTCGGGAATTGTGCAATTTATCCGTGTCGGCCGTGCCGTCGGACGCCGCTGCCGGCGACGTCGCCGGATAAGACGGCGCCGTGCCGAGGTCATGTCTGCAGGGCGCTGGACCGTGACCCAGCCGCCCTGGCCGGCACGGCTGGACGGGGGCAGCGGAAGAGCGCCGCTTCCGCAACCGAGGATGAGATGTTAATGCCGTATTTTAAATGGTAATTAATTCCGCGCACGAGTTGTGTGGATTTTTGGCGCTCAGGCTCTCCGGGAGACGGCGCGAAATCGCACGATCGGCAAGTTTTGTGGGGCGGTGGCGAGGCTGGATGGATGCTTGCGTGGTAGCCAGTAAATCTGGGACGTCGCGTGACCCAATATTTATTGTTATTGCGCGTCAGATTTTATCCAACTAGGCCTGGGAACAAATCAAGCATGAAATTTACGATGACGCTGAAATGTGGCCGTTTTCATAAAACTTGATAGATTTAAATGGCTGACCAGCCATTTCGCTGTTAATCGGTGGATGCGTTGTCAGATAAGTTTTTGTCCGTTCTTTTTCAATTGGGTATGCCGTGCGCCGTATGCGCGGGCACAGGACCTTTCACTCTGTTTATGTTGAGCGTGCAAAATTCCCAACGAAACAAATTCTCAAAGCTTCCCTGCTGAAGCAAAGCGGGCCTCGGTGTTTTTGTTTCCCCGAGTCCAACACGTGACGGCACTCTTAATCAAACGAAAACCGTTACAGAGTGCGCTGCGTGTCGCGGTCCATTCCAGGGCCCTTCCGCGACCGTGGGCGGCCGTTGTCACTTGGCCGCTTGGCCGACTACGTGTCCCGTCCTCACAATCCGGTGAAGTGGTCTCTAGTGGTCCTCGCAGTCCACGGCCGTCGGCCCACCTAGCAGCGCAAGGACATTCGAGACGGGCGCCGTCCTAAACAAGCCTGCGGCGGCGGTCTGGCGGCGGCTTTGCTGAAGCTTTTTGAAATGGGATGCTTAAGGCATGATTTGCATGAAGTGGCAGCCCCAAGCGCACGTGTGACGAGAGTATTAAAACGCGGCCAGGTAGTCATGGTAACGAGAGACTCTTCTCGGCCAATCGCTGCAGTTAATGGACAGACACCCAGGGATGAGCTGCCAGCTGGACGCCCACATCGCACTTTGTGCCGATCCGCTGCGTGCTGTAATCGTCTGATCTGCGCGCGCCGGCCCTGTCACGTGCAATTTTGTCCATCCGTTGGTTAACGGGTAATCTATTTCAATGCGCTGCAGTGGATGTTGTGTAGCGAGCTGCCATTATCACGCGTGACGGGGCATCTGCCGTCCTGCGGTGCCCTGTGCTGTTGCGGGCGGCCGTCCGATGGGCGAGGGTTCGTCTGTGCTCTGCTGGCTCGCCATCGTGTTCTGTCGGATGACTGATGATGGCATGTCAGGCGTCGGCCTGTCCGCCAGTCTGCCGGCGGAGGACAGTGTGTGATGTCGCAGGGCGTGACCTGTCATGTGAGCCCAGCCCGGCGATCTCGCGTGTCGCCGGGCCGTGCCGTCCGCACTGGGACCGCCCCTGGCCCCCGTCCGGCCCCGGACGCCCTCCCAGCGGTGTGCTGTCCCCTTCGATGCGAAGCCGGTCCGCCGGTGACGATGCTGACGGACCGTCTCTATCCGCCGCCGCAGCCTGCTGTTCGTCGTGCGGTACGGCTGCCGCGCGCTCACCGGCTCGCGCTGGTAGTGCGGGCGGTGGCGGCCGGCCATCCGACCACGAGGACGGCGGAGATCCGGGCCCATCGGACGGCGGGCCGGCGCACCCTTGGTGCGTCGCGCCACAAGCTGGCAGCCGGAGAAGCACGCAACGAGTGCCAGCATCGTGATTCCCCACCAGGACCTGTATCATTGTTATGCATAACGCCCGCGGCCGTCGCGCCCCATCGCCCAGTTTTAGACGATGATTTCGTGTGTGCCGTCGGCTGCCGCGCTGGCACTTTGTGTGCTGCGCCGCTCCTGCCGCGCGCTAATGAATCCAATCTAAACACAGCTCGTCAGAACGAACCGACTCTGACTCTCGCCGCTCCTGTTTCACCGCGCCCCCGGCCGCCGGCGGCCGGGTCGGCCGGGTGCCTCCCCTCCGGTGCTGTTTGCCTCTCGCCGTCCGTGCGCGCGGCGCGCGATCTCCCTCGCACCCGCCTCCGCCCCGGGCGGCGGCCGGCGGGGTCGATTGGACGGCGGTCGCTGATGGAGATTGTGTTTTGTCGCGGGCTCCTCCGCCGCGTGGGATCAAGGTTGTGGGTTTGTGGCGCCGGGCGCGCCTCCTGCGGCCGCCTGGGGGTGGCTCCGGGGGCGCCGTGCCCTCCGTGTGGTGCTGGTGTGGGGGCTAGTCTGGTATTGACGCATGGGATGCTACGCTGTGTATCTTTGTTGATGTTTAATGGTGATTTATACGCCCCAAGGGACCACTGCCGCGCGCTCGCGCTTTTGCGAGATGGGCAGCGCGATGCGAGCGATGAACGGGTGGGGCGACCGTCGCAGCCTAATACACACGTATCAGTTGAGCCGCTATCTCACGGATGCTGAACGGAGGCCATCATGGCCGGCTGGCGTGCCGCAATTGCTGATCCTATCTGGCAGCTGGAGCGGGGCTCCGTCTCCGCCGCCTCGTGAAGCCGCCCGCCCAACCGGGTGCCCGACACGTGGACGTGTTGCCGGCCGGAAGGAGCTCGTGGCGCCGGTGGGAGGGAGCCGTGGCGCCGGCCGGGAGGGGGTCCGCCAGAAGGGTCGCCATCTGGCCGGCTTTGCCAGGGACGTCGCCGTCTGGCCGAGTTCGCCAGGGAGGTCGCCGTCTGGCCGGGGCCCATCAGGGAGGTCGCCATCCGGCCGGGTCTGTCAGGGAGGTCGCCGTCTGGCCGGGTCCGCCAGAAAGGTCGCCATCCGGCCGGGTCTGTCAGGGAGGTCGCCATCTGGTCGGGGCCGCCAGAGAGGTCGCCATCCGGCCGGGGCCGCCAGAGGTCGCCATCCGACCGGGGCCGCCAGAGAGGTCGCCGTCCGGCCGGGGCCGCCAGAGAGGTCGCCATCCGGTCGGGGCCGCCAGAGAGGTCGCCATCCGGCCGGGGCCGCCAGGGAGGTCGCCATCCGGCTGGGTCCTCCAGAGAGGTCGCCATCCGGCCGGGGCCGCCAGAGAGGTCGCCATCCAGCCGGGTCCGCCAGAGAGGTCGCCATCTGGCCGGGGCCGCCGTCTGGCCGGGGCCGCCGTCTGGCCGGGGCCGCCGTCTGGCCGGGGCCGCCGTCTGGCCGGGGCCGCCAGAGAGGTTGCCATCCGGCTGGGTCCGCCAGAGAGGTCGCCATCTGGCCGGGGCCGCCGTCTGGCCGGGTCCGCCAGAGAGGTCGCCATCCGGCCGGGTTTGCCCCGGATTGGGTGATCACCGCCGGAAGCTTCCTCGCATCAGCCGGGCGGCGGGCGGCCGTCGCCGCCCGATGGCCGGCACGTGGAGCGTGCCCGGTGTGCGCCCAGATGATCGCGTGCTTGATGGGCGTGCCGCCCTGCCGACCACAGAGATCCGACGACGGCCGCCTGGTATTGATCACTCCAGGCCGTGTTTTTCAGCCGGGTTTGCGTCCGTACGACGGTGGGCAGCTGTTGGCCACTGGGCGGGTATGCTTGTGTCGCAGGGGCCATTATCGCCCCGGCGTGCTATTGTTGTAGCCCGACGCTAATGACGTGTTTCACGTTCTCGTTCGTTGGCATGTTTTTCACTTCGTCGTCCCTTCACACGCGGCCATGTTGTGTGTGACCCCATTGTGACCCTCCGCAGAATGCATCGCGTGCTGACTCATTATTTCTGGTGGAGCTAGTGAGGTATCGGATTGCTAACTGTGGCTGTAAAGTTCCCGAAAGGATAACCGTAACTTCTTTATTACTCGTAGGTTAGAGTTGGCTGATTTTAGTGCATGTTTCCCCCAGCATGGAACCTGTAGGCTGGTATTGGCGTTCGGGTCAGTCCAAGGAATCGGTCCCTTTTCAGTCCAAGGAATCGGTCCCTTTTCAGTCCAAGGAATCGGTCATAGGTTCGCACGTAGACTTATCATATGTTATTATTACTCATGCTGGATGTCATTTTAACGCGACTTATCCGGACCGTTGACATGCTACAGCTCGCTTTCCTCTCGTCTGCTGGCCCGCAAAGCGTTGCCATTAATTATGCCACGCACAGCCGGGTTGAGCTCCGTGAACCGAATTCAATCTACCCCTTTGCAGTCAGCGAGAACCCATGTACCCGCAGCGACGTTCCCGTCTCGAGTAGGTGCATAGGTGTCCAAAGCATCCGCGGCCTGTACGGACCCCGTGCGTGTCAGCGCGTGGTTCAACGGCGGCCAATGCCGTGGCGTGCGGTGCCGCGGCTCCGCTGCGGCCTCCGTGCTCGCCGAGCCGCGGTGTCCGGGCCAGACGAGAGCCGACGGCGCTGCTCGGCCGCCACGGCCGGTGTCTGCGCTGGTCGGCACCGGAGCTCTGTGGCTTCGCGGCTCCGCAGCTCCGCGGTTCCGCGGTTCCGTGGCTCCGTGGCCCGGCGCGGCCGGCGGGCGTGATGACCCACCGGGTTTGGCGTGCTGTAGATCTGGCCCCAGCTGGCCCACAGGCAGGAGGCGGGTGCAGCCGCAGACCCCCCCCCCCCCCCCCCCGCCTTCCCCGCCTGTTGGGCAGCGGTCCCCGCCGTGGCGTGGGCAGTGATGTGGCGGCGGGGCGTGCGGTCAGCAACGGGTCTCGATGCCGCCCGTGCTTCTGCGGGGCTTTGGCAACGTGATCCCGCCCTGGCCTGGTAGTCGCCCGAGGCTCAGGAATGTGCTGTGTTCAGCTGACCCGCTGCATTACTGCCCGCTATGGAGGCAGCGGGCCGGCCGGCCGGTCGCGGATTGCTGCGTCAGTATTGGCATCCGCAATCCGGCTGTATCTGCGGACGTCAGCCATCTGTAAGCCTGCGACTTTGTGAGAATGCTTCAACCCCCCCCCCCCCCGCACCCATATGGACCTTGCACTGAATGCGCCAGCTTGTGGAAAAAGAGGTCTTCATACTTTAAGGTATGTTTACGAAGACCTACGACACTGTTGATTTGTGGAGTTGAAAGCAATTTGCGTGGGTTGGTGTTTTTCTTCCCAAACATATTTCGGACATGAAAACAGCGATAGCGACACCCAGAGACGGAAGGGCTCCGTTTGGCCTGCGGATGGTATGCACAGCGCATCCTGGCGGCGACCGGCCACGCGGCGCAGGGGCGTAGGTTCGCAAAATGAACTGGGTAGGTGGGGGGGGGGGGAGGGGGCGAGGACTGAGTAGTGAAAAATGAAGAACCGTACCCCATAATACGCAAACAGTAGTTTCTCCACGGATTTGGCAGCTTTCATTTCAAAGTTGAGGGCCTGGAGCCTTCCGCGCTCGACTGAACAGGAAAGTGTTCCCCTGCCTCCACGGTCGCCATTGGTCAGCGCGCAGCACTGCTCAGCCAGCCCGCAAATACAGGACGCTGGTCTCCATACGCTGTCGACCAGCTGTTATCAATGACGACTGCAGGGAGAAGTATCAAACTGGTTTCCCGTACATGAGCAGAATACAAATGGGGAAGATTGTGTGGTGGAGCGTCAATGCCAAGGTCCAGGACTGAAATAAATGCCTAGGTGAATTCCGGATTCGTACGCTTCCGATACCCGGCATCCCGACATTTGAAAATTGCAACAATCGACTGATTTGTGTGGAACACAAATAATTTGTTTCCTGTGGCAAACTTAAGAGCTAGCTACATGAGCATCAAAAGTCACGTGACCGCCCCAGAAGACGAGTTAGCAGGAAGGCGGACAGGCAGATTTCACTAGCCGGCCATAGCACGATGCGGCAACCTTCGTCCCAAGCCTGCGCAGATTGGAGGAGGCCGGCGCCCGGCAGGGAACTGGGAACGAAGCGGAGGGGAGTTAGCAGGGATCACCGGGGAGCAGCGAGGGTCCGGAGGGATCACCGGGGATCACCAAGGGTCCGGAGGGATCACCGAGGATCAGCGAGGGTCGGAGGGATCAAGGGGGTCAGTAGTGATGAGTGGACGAGGATGGGAGGGTATTCAGCGTGGAATGGAAGTGTCTGGAACACATGAGATTCCAGAGAGTGAATAGATTCCAGACGGGTCGCACCATGAGTTTGAATAGGCCATTTGCGGGCCAGCAGGGGTCAGAGGAGTGTTGGATCTGAACGGGACCCGCGGCTCGGTCTCGTCTCCCCCTCCCCCCTCCCCCCTCTTCCCAGAGCAGCGGTGGCTGCACCGGATCAGATGGTGCTAGGTGGGGCGCGGCGCCGCAGGGCTTCGTCGCTCCCGACGACGGCGTTTGTCTGTTTTCTTCGTCGATGGCAAGGAACGGTATTAAGGTGGCCTTTGATGAAAATGTGTGCTGTGGTCAGTTGTTGTTGTGGGACGATGAAGGAAGTGGCTGCTGAAAAGAAAGCTTGATGAAAGCTGTGGCTCGTAGCGGTTGTTATTAAGGAGCTTTAATTCACCGTCTTGGAGAAATAGTCGTGGAAGCTGTTGTTAAAGGAACTGTTCCATACTTTTATGGGTTTTGAACTGAAATTGCCATCTTGAGGGTCTTTCAGCGCCGTTCACAATCATGCCTTTCTTAAGACCTAAGCCCCTCTAGTTTCTGGACTACACGCCGCAAAGATGGAGAAAGGTATATTGCGGAGGGTATTTCAAATTCACCTTGGCATTGATGGCGTCATGATAACGGCACAAATCCAACCATTTCACAAGCCATGCGGCGATCAAGGCCAATGAAAATACGGTTGTCGAGGCGTACATATCTGGCGCTTGTGAGCGCGATTTCCAGATATAACGGCCATCAATTGGCTCTCAATGTTGTGGAGGGTACGGTGACGTAATCAAATCATGACGCATGGACGAGCACATTTACTACACAGAGAATTGTGCTGTCTACAGCAGTCTTTTCCACTTAAAAAGTACAAAAATAGTTAAGGTAAGCCTGCTTCAACACCTTCAAATGTGAAGCATTCTCTTTAGCTGTTATAACTCCTAAGTTTTGTTATTTTGAGCAATGGCAGACTGAAATCGTATGTTTTCGGCTTAGGTCATCCCTCGGTTGGTGAACCAAGTACAGCTGTACGGATCCCAGTGGCATAACTGCATTTACGCAACCAGGGGCAGAAACGTGGCCAAGGCCACATGCCAAATTTTTCCCCAACTACCGCAAACTTGCATCGGATTCCTGCGAAATTACGCAGTATCCTGTATAAGCACCTTGGTTCAGGGGAGGGGTCATGGTCCTGTGGTCCCCACCCCCTGACCATGTTCTGTCATGGTTGATCCCAACTTAGTTTTCCCCGCCCATGTCACGGACTCCCGCCTTTCAGAGCCATGGACGCTTAGACGAACTCCGCAAAGCCGTGCCACGAGACTAGCCATCTGCCCGGGGACGAAAACGGAATTTCGTCAGAGGGGAGGGGGAGGCACGCAACATTGTGGGGCCCTAAGAATTGGGGCCTTCCCCCCCAAATCATAGCAT